CCCCCCCCCCCCCCACTCAGAGGTCGGAATGACCGCATGCGTGTTGCCAAAATGTCCGGTAAAGGGGTACTTTTCGTGCGACAAAGTCCGGCCCGAGAATTGTAAAAAAGGGGTGTATTTGACTTTTCACACCCGGAGATTTCTTTAAAAAGGGGGTGTTTTTCTTTTTTTTCTCTCATCTCTTTGGACTCCTGAGAAATTATTCCGAATTTAGGGGGGTACATTGAGCATTTTTCTGATTTAGGGGGGTCTCCAAGGCAGGAAAAGCACGCGAAAAGCCCGCGAAAGGGGGGTTCGGAAATGTTGGCAGTCCTCAGATAGGGGGTGCTTTCAAAAAAAGGGTACGAGCATATGCGTACCCTAAATAACACTGAGTGGGGGGGGGGGGGGGGCCGGGACGGCTCGAAACTTACTGCTACAAACTTACGACTAAAAATACAAGTTGCACAATAATATCAAGCGCAACGATAAACTCGCTCAATTTAATTGCGCAGTGAACGAGTGAAGACTCGCAGCGCCACTAAAGTAAAATCTACTCACCAGAGTCGTCACTATATGTCAGAATCCGTCGATGCTGTCCTTTGCTGTTTGCTGTGATGATCTCCGTTGATTGTAGTGCACTCCGATGCGTAGTCTATACTTCTGTTATCTGGTTACTGGTAATTCCCTTTTTTTTTTAAAAAGAAGATAGAGGAAAAGGAGAGAGACAGAGAGAGGGAGAGAAAGAAGAAAGAAAGAAAGAAAAAAGGGAGAACATGAAACTTAACTTTACACTTAGGCCTACATATTACATTTCCGACTGAGTTGGCTCGACATGTGCTGAAGTAGTCTGCGGACGAAAGTACAACAATACGAAAACAGAAATTATATGAAATTGTCTTTAAGAGAGAAAGAGAGGTTAATTCTAAAATGAAATGAAAGGGGTTATGTGACTCTCAAGGAGGAAATTACAATTTCTATCGCTCATGACGACTATTTGGAATTTCCTAATTTTTTTTAAAGTTCAAGAACTTCCTGGGGCTCCGCCCCATGCAAGACTCTCGGCAACAGCAAATTATTTACACAATTTCTTGCTGTCTGCTGCCTCGAGATCACTGGAGCGAAGAAAGGTAAGATATAGCAAGAATCCCTATTCAGTGAAGGATTTATCCCTTTTATTATTAAAGACTCCCGACAAAGGCTCTCCCCTGCAAAATTGGAGAGAGTTTTATGTAGTTTAAGCTTTTAACAACCACGCCCGTGGACCTTTTATTATTTACACAAAGGTAAAAGTGTATAGCAAGAATCCCTATTTAGTGAAGGATTCATCCTTTTATGCAGATGCTTCTTCTACCATTCTTGACCAGAAGTGCGTTTCAAACTCAATGATATGGGCATCATCCCATTGAATGTTGTGTCCAGTGTTACGGGTTTGTTTTGCTACTTGCTGCCTAATCTGAGGGGCTCTGTTGTGCTCTTTAAAAAGAGGACACAATAGGGGCGGCGCAATTCAAATATCAAGGAATGTATTAGAGTTTATTTCTAAAATGAAATGAAAGGGCTATTTGACTCTCAATAAAAACTCTAATCCATCCCTTGAAATTTAAATTGCACTGCCCCCATTCAGTGTGCCATTTTCAAAGAGCACAAAAAGGCTTCAGATTGAAGATTCCATCTCATAAAATCGTCTATAAGAGAGAAAGAGAGTTTATTTCGAGAGAAAAAATGAAATGAAAGGGCTACTTGACAAGAGCCCTTTCATTTCATTTTAGAAATAACCTCTTTTTTCTCCTAAAGACAATTTCTCTCTTGAAAAGGCTCTGCCAGACCCCTCAAGCTCTGCCATGTTGTATGGATCCATTAGAAAGCAAATGAGCCCACTCAATAATTGATATAAATTATATTAAAACGTCATAGCCAGGGCTCAAATTAATTTTTTGTCCACGGGGGCTCTTCCCCCCAAAAAGAGCCCCCGTGAGCCTTCTCACGGGGGCTCTTTTAGTACTGACGGGGGCTCTTTTTTTATACAAATATCCATTGAATTGGTACCTATGATACTCCTCAATTATTTGCTATTTCATCATTATCATTCCAATCAGCATTTTCCCTCTTACAAATTTACAAGCTACATAGCTGTTACTGGCCTGTGTATATACTATATACGCATACAACACTGATCTTTATGATGTCTTTAACTTGACATATCTTCTTCTCCCCTTGCAAACGAGAAAGAAAACAAGGTCATTAAAAGGGATTAAGCGACAAATAATGATTGTGATTCAAATTGATGCGAATATTTGTTTGAATAAGCACTGCTATTCACCCGAATCTTCTTTGTAAAAACAACTTTTACAAATCTCAGTCATGCTTACTGAGTTGAGACGTTCCATTCAATGTAAAATACTCATTAAAGAATACACTTCTCCTAATCTGAAAGTGATCTTACAACACAGTGGCAGATTTGCATGGCTGAGAGATTCTGGTGAAAAGCATTGCTTATTCAAAAAAATCCTTGCATCAATTTGAATCACAATGATTATTTGTCGCATGATCCTTTTATTAAATAACCTTGTTTTCTTTTTTGTTTGGGGGAAAAGAAGCTATGTACGTTAAGAAATCATAAAGATCAGTTGTATTATGCGTATATACATTATGATACCAGAACAAAATATGTTGATTATCAGAATGTCATTTTGGAATACCTCTATACAAATACCACATTGTCTTTAGCCCGTATCAGTATTAGTATCATGCAATATAAAGCTATTATTCTTTATTTAATTCAGTATAATGCTTTTCCTCAAAAATAGTTTTGCCATTTTGTTAGGGTTGAGACGCTAAGAAATGGTTTCAAATGTACATTACACGAACCCTGAACCATTGCAAAATGATGGTGGTTCTCTCTCTCTCTCTCTCTCTCTTTACTTTAATCATGCATTATCAACTACATATAAAGCAGCAACCAAAAACTTAGGGTTATCTGAGATAGGTGAAAGTAAGAGTTAAAAAGAAAGTCATGCTAAAACGGCGCTTCACTCCCCCCCCCCCCCCCCATGAAAAAATAAAATAGATTAGTAGTCCTCCTCTCCAGCACCCCCTCCCCGCTTTAATATCACATTTTCACTTGGCAGCCCAAGGGGCCGGGGGTGGGAGGAGGGGGTTAAACCCCTAACCCCCCCCCGTAGATCTGCCCATGTTACCATATCATTCCACGACATCTTGGTCTTCCTCTTCTTCTCAATAGGGAATTTTAGATTTGCGTGGACGTGGACGTGTTACGTCCTTTTAAGGCACTGGCAGTCACATGTCACGTCCTTTTAAGCACTGGCACTGCCTTAAAAGGAGGTCACACGTTTCAGTCCACGTTCCCATCGTGCAAATCTAAAGGTCCCTAATATTGATTTACTGGTCGAGGTTCATTATTTGCTAGTCATTTGAAATCACCAGATTTCAGCGGGTTAACGCTTTCACAACGAAAAACTTCTCCATGACCATTTTCTGCCCTTGCGCGATCGCCTCCAGCTCCAGCAGACATAGCGCGGCAGCGTGCACACGTACCGCTACTAAGGCGCCTATAACCAAAGACGTTTAAATATAATTACTAGACGGAAAGCAGCACGCGCGGAAACCATGCCGACGAATGGGATTAGGCTCCGCCTCTTTTGGATCATTTGAAGACAAAATAAGCACCCGAGGCGGCTTTTTGATTGGATAAGTGCCTCATGAATATGTATTTTATCGATAGTATCGCTTAAGAAACCGGATAATATATTTGACCTCATTGCGTCACTTTAATTATGCAGATTTATGCACGACGCTATATACACTCGCACAAACTGAGAAGAGTTAGTTCATTGAGAATGGGTGAGTAATTGATTGAAATATGAGTAGATTAAGTGAATTTTGTCATCAATTTTGAAAAAGCTGCAATAGCCTTCGTGATCTACGGTAATTTCGTTACATTGTGAGACCATTCTCAACAGATTTTTGGGGAAAAGACTAGGAAAATATTGCTCTTGAAATTGCACTTTGATTTTCATCGTCATGAAGTAGTTTGACTGCGGTTTGCTGTCATTTCACCCTAGTACTCCAGTTAGGGCCCCGGGGTTCCGGCAGGCTCACCCCTGGGAATTTCGGTGCTCATTTGCATCAAGATCAAACTTTCTAATCAATTTTTATTTGAGATTTGATCGTCATCATGAATCTAATTCACCAATCACCGATTAATTTAAATCTAGATTTAACGTTACACCTTAAAATAATTTACGAAGCATGATTTTTTTGATAATCCAAGTGGATTAATTCTTGTTAAAATCTTTAGTAGATGTGGACTCTGATGGCTTTACTTATCAATATCGGTGCCATCCGTTCGCTCAGTTGCATACGCGGTGCGTGTCAACTTTATTTAGACCAAAATTATCTGTGACCATTGATAATCAAACAACTCCAAATCCTATTCATTTAGATGTAAACCTGAAACTTATTAATAAAATATATTTAAAAAACATCAACACTAGGATTTGTTTATTTAATATTTAGATTTTGTGTGGATCCAGCGTGCTTGTCAAGTTGTCATTATAGATCTACTACTACTAGACCTAGGCCTAGTACTAGATCTAGATCTACACTCAAAAAGGGGGGGGGGGGGTTCTAGAAAAACATACACATAAAAAAAAGCTCAAGGGGTGGGGGGGGGGGGGGGTAACCCCAAACCCCCCCCCCCCCCCCCCCACTGCGTACGCGCCTGACCCCTATCAATTCTTTTAATATATTAGAGATTTTTTTCTTCTCCAAATTGTGCAGTTCATGTTGATAAATCTATTTGTGTAAGAGAAGACCCCTAGTCCACAATTATGTTTACTTATGTAGATCTAGTCCACTTCTTCTTGTCTTAATAAACCAATTCTACTTAAGACTACTTTATATGTATAGGCCATATAAAGCACTTTTTGAAGCACAAGTTAAATCTTCCATTTGATTTTAATTTGTACTGTGGTCCATTAAATTGGAATGTAGATTTCCACACCATATTAAAATTAAGGCCAACCATGACCTGAAAAATAGCTTTTATGCTAGATCTATTTTTATTTTGTTAAGGAGAAAGGGACGCCTTGATTGTAATATTGATTTTGTTTTCTTTTTGTTCCAACAGATTGAAACTGATGAAGATCGAGCTGGAAGGAGTTAACTGATGAGTAGACATTACAACATTTCTTATATTTGCAAGATGAAGCTGAAAGTCCCATGCAGGTAACATTTTCAGGATATTTAGCACACAAATATTAAACGACCACCTATTAATTCACTAAAAAAGAAAATGGAACTAAGTTTATGTTGCAGGTGTATATAGTGGAGGGGATATTTTATTCTAGTTCTTCCCTTTCTTTCTTTACTAAGGGATTTGTCCTTATTTACAGGAGGTCCTGTATGTAGAAGAACGATGTCTAATGCACATTCAAAGCACTACATAATAATAATAATGATCATACATGTAGGGTATACACGGAACCCCTCATTACTTTTTTTTGTAAGTGGTCCTTTCACTTCTTGAGCAATGAAGATGAAGAAGAACACAACATGAGATTAATTAAAGTCTGTTTATAGGATGTATTATGGTTGATATGTATCTATTATTATCACTTTTTAATTGAAGTACCTACATTGTTTTCTCTTATGTAGGATGATGCTTCTCTACAGTGGATGATGAAGGCATGCTGATTACAAACCCAGGAGAGGAACAAAGAACAGATATTGACAGAATCATATCTAGAGATGCGGGCCTACTACACTTCATACGAGCAAGTTTGCTAAAGTAATATACAATGTAGGTACCCCCAATAAACTATTGTAGAACACATATCATGCAGAAAGTTATAGATCTGACAAACATATTTTTCATTGTCCATTACTTGTAAAAGAATACTTGACTGAATATCACAATTGTGATTTAGATTTAAAATAAAATGTTGATATAGATGAAATATAAGTCTACATTACGTATGTTTTAATATCATTATTTCCAGTACATTCTCTGGTCCAAGTTGTTTGGTAATTTTATGTCCCATACTTAACCGAGTATTATTCAATTATGAGCACAAGTTCACAATACAAGTACATTGTACACGTATTACTTATTTCATACCTTGTCTGATCCAAGCTCCAGCAGGCCTATCATCTTAACGGGATCATCAGAAATAATCTAAGATGTGGTCAGTAACTAGTCTTGTAGGAAAAATAGTTTTGGTTTGCCAACTATAACCCCAAGTGAATTTCAGTCCTTTGTCATGTTGTCAGAGCAGGTATCATGTGTGTATGTTATTAGTCATTGTTGTTTTTCTTATACACTGTATCTTATTTCATTTTTCCATTCAACAGACTTGGGTATCATTACAGCCCTTACTTCTGAAACCTAGGCTACAACTTTATTGATGAATGCAGGAGACATCTACATGGGACTACGTCTTGAAGATGCCACCCTCATATAATGAAAGAGGACAGTAGAGATGGGTTTAAACTTGAATATTTACATGATATTTATTTATTATTTGTATTATATGTTTGTAGAATAGCACAATCAATCAAGCTAATGAATTTATCATCATGTCAACTTTCAAATGATTAAAGATAACTAATCATCAATGAATAAACATTAACATTTTAACAACATCAACTACCATCTTATAGGAGGACTGGGCAGAAAGATTCTCCTTGAAATTTGAGTGATAAAGATCTATCAGTCTATATCAAAGATTGAATTAATCATGATATTTTAATTATAATTATACTATTATATTATCGATTTTTTTTTATAATTATTTGAAGTTTGTAGATTATTACATTATTGCTGCTTCAAGTATAGTATGTAAGAAGGTTTGAAAGACGACCCTCTAAATGCACTAAATATGGGAACTGCTAATCACCATTGCCTTTTGTATCCAAACTGCTAATTTTAATAGAATCATGTTTTGATACTTCCTAGCTTAAGAAAAGGGGGGGGGGGGGGGGCTTGTTATCCTCTTCCTGGTGCTGTTTCTACATGGACCATGTAACAGGTTGCAAAATTGTAAACAATATTATATTTGTTATATGTTTATATTAGAAGGATTTAGAAAATGAAAACGTTTTGAATCATAGAACTACTGTTGCTAGAAGTAATTGCAGTATTGATGTGTAAGGGAAGGGGGTGGTTTTCCCAGTGAAATTAACGGTATGCCAATGTAAAAATTAATACAAAAAAGAGAAAACTATTCTTAAAAATAAAATTATAAAGGACATGGGCCTCCTAACTAACTAACCCTGGTACCACTTCTGGGTTGTTGTTGTTGTGTTTTTTTTTGTTTTTTTTTTTTTTTTTTTTTTTTTTTTTGGGGGGGGGGGGGTGTGGGCAACCCAATTAAAAATTTCCAGTGTTAAATTCCATTGTCTTTAAACAAAAATGATGTCAAGATGTTGAAAACAGTGTTTCACTTTCCGTTTTCAAGTTAGAAAATTTGAATAAAATGATTAACATATTTTCCGATCTCTCTGGTCTCTACATTAAAAATGTTCAAAGCTCCTGCAAAGGCTGCAAAAAAGAAAAGTGAAGATAATCCAAGTGAAATGTGGACAGTAATGGAGTGAATATGGAATGGTCGATCGTAGTTGATAACGAGTAAATGTAAATGAGTGGTATTACGACTGAAAGTGAGACAGAAAGGAACTGCAACAGGTTGTTCAGTCAAGACAACAAACCGTTAGTTGCAGAAGATAATTTACGAAAGAGAGAGAAAGGGAATCATTAAGGTACGTTGAGAGTGGGTGGAGAAAAACCGTCCATTTTGCCACATAATTTGTCTAAAATAAGGAAACTTTAAAATGTAAAATCATAGCCAGAGAATGTGTTGTTATATGGCTTATAGCATGTTTGATTTAATAAAACAAAAACAGACCCAGTTATTGATAGACTAGTAAAAAGGGAATAAGATCGAGAAATTAAGAATATCAGTATTTCTTATTCAATGAAGTTAAGGCCACTCCCCCATATTAAAAAACAACAACAACACAAGAACGAGAGGTACTTTAAGGTCCACTTCCCAGATGCATCCTGGGTACACCCGCTGTTTTACTGGTGATCGATAATACACGTTCGAGCGCGTATTTCACCTAACGGTGATCGCATCAGAATAATCCATGCTGATTCGCTCAATCACTTGCGTTGCTAGCGCGCAGCGTGATGAATAAATTACCCATAATTCCGTACAGTAGATTATTTGACCTCTCTAATTACGCTGATACGCGTATTGTCTTTACCATGTAGTGAACATATCATTCCAGTACACTTTTCGCGGGGAGCATCCTACAGAATGCATAATTCATAAGGCTCATGAATTATGCATGGGGGGCTTATTTTGGCTTCTAATGGATCCGGACAAAATGGCGGAGCTTGGGGGCCTAGGAACGTCTAAAGCTTCCGCGCTTTGCGCGGGAGGCCTATCACCCGTATCACCCACACCCCCTAATGAGCGCCCAAAAGTGATTCGCTTACTCACCAGCGCCCCTCCCTAAAATAAGATCCTAGCTCCGCGCCTGCATTAAAATATATAGCTATGATGCTGACTAAGTTGACGAAATAATTCGTATATTTATGTCGTCGAGGAAAATGACCATTTGCGCATACGCAAGTTCTATAGATAATCCATAGGAAAAACAATTTAGCCTTCGGCCCCGGGTTTATAGCGCTAAATTTGTAGATATTGGGACATTTAATTTTGTCGGTAATTGGTGGCCAGTTTTGTCGGTACTCGTTGGCCTCTACACCCCCACCCCCCCCCCCCCCCCACTGAAAAAGGTCTAGCGACGCCCCTGCCGGCAACCAATATCCAAGTGCACAGGTAGTCTAGTTCTTACCGTCTCCTTTTTGCATGTTCCTGTATTGTTTAATTGTTGAAAGTTTTTGATAGACCTAGCCTATATTGTGTGTTTCTCTGTAATTTGTATAACATGTATTTTAATATATATTTTCTTGTTTTTGTCTTTGAATGTGAAAATTGATAAATAAATAAAATGAAATGAAATGAAATGGATCAAGCTACGAAATTGAAGTATTGACACGAGTCACAGGGTGGATTAAACACCCCCCTCACCCCCCCCCCCCCCCCGCCCGCTCCGATTAGGCCCTTATCTCATAAAATGAGTTGCAATAGGTGCACGCAGGTGACTTTTTTGTAATGGTCGCGGAAATTAACCATGGTTTCTGCCCGAATGGAAATTTAATGAAGTATTGTTGACCTATTTGGCTTACATTTCATATAATAATCTCAGAAATTAAAATGTTGAGGTGTGTTAAAGTAAGACTGAAAGAAAATTATGAAGTTTATCATCCAGGAAAAGTTCCTTTTTTTCCTATTATGGTTGGATTTTTTGAGGATACCGTAAAGCAGAATTTCGGTTATCGCGATCTGGAACGATGACGATGAGTTAGGGATGATAATAAAGATGCTTGGTTCCTTGTAAGACTAAGAGTAGACTACAGCCGTGCAGAGCAGGTACATCTTCTTCTTCCAATACTAGCACGTCTATAGTGACAGAAATGTAAATCAGGTAAATCTTAACTCCAATTAAGATTCATTTTTAGAGTATTACATTTATTGCCCTTCTGTCGTGGATGCGCCATGGACGTGAGAGAGCCAGGCCCAGAGGGCCAGACCCGGCCCGTGCTACATCATATGCACCGCGGCCGCGCACGCGCACCGCATCATCATTATTGAATTATTCATATCCTGGCCTAAGCTTGGCAGTGAAATGGTAGAATTTATGATGATTTATATGTTTTCTTGAGTTTATTTAACCAGATTTTGATTAAGTGATGGTGACCTTTAATTGGAGTAGTTAAGTTTGAAGAATTAATGTGTCAAAAATGATGCTGATCCCTTTTCTATTTTATTTATGATTTTACTTTTTCAACAGGTGTTTACCGACTCTAGATCTAGAGCTCTATATTGACTATGCACATGAAAAAAAGGTATCCAGTTCATCATCATCATCATGTGAATGTAATGCCAGTCAATTAGAGAAAATGGCTGGTGACGGACAAGAATGGGAAGAAGTAATCATCCTTCAGAACCAGGATGGAGAACCGATTGCGAAGAAAAGAATGGATGTGAACGGAGAACAGGGTAGGAAATCTGAATCAGACGTGAATGGATCCAGAGACGCTGGGAGTGGTGCACTGGACAGGGACGTCCTGAGTCACCTGTCGATCATGTCGATGAAGGCGGGTCTTTCTTTCTCACCACACAGTGACTGGACGAAGGTCTGCAAAGAAAGGACAAGTCAGAGGTCGAGAGACGATGATGAAGAGGAGGATGAAGAGGAGGAAGACGATAATCCATTGAATGTTGTCCCTGCTGATGGGTAAGGAAAATGGATGTCATAATTCAGGGGAAATCCCTAGTGACTGTGGGATTGTTTAAAAAAATATGTATTTCATTGATTTTTCATTTAATATGACATATGTACATGTACATGTATGTCATTGATTGTTGCTCCTACATGTACATTTACGGACACAAAAATGAAGGTTATGGGAGGGTATGTAAAAGCACAAGTTTACAATAATAATTGAGGGCAAAACTATGGGAAATGTAGAAAAATTGAATATATGAAATGTCTAGTTCAAAACACATGAACAGCTGCTCACATTGGTTATCCCACAGTTTCTTACCTTTCAGGTTGGTTAATTGGACTTTCCTCAAACATTTACAGATCTTTTCCCCTCATTTTTCTGCCTTAATCAAAAACAACTTGTTTCCAGGGGTTGCACTCCCCCTTTAAGTTAAAGTTTGTAATAGGTTTGTCACACCTAGTAATAGCGACAGTAATTAATGTGACAGTCAGGCTAACCATCGTCTAGTGCCCTCTAGTGGTGACTGTGAATCGTATGAATGGAAGTTGCAGCAGGTTAATCACAGTCTAGTTCCCTCTATTGGTGGTGTCATGACAAAATAGTGATCTGTGGCCTAGATTTGTTAAATCCTCAGGGTAATTTATCATAGATTTTCGTTGTAATGACAAATCTTGCATTTCAAAGGTAGTATTTTGATGTAGTTCGACAATATCAGCCAAGAAGTTGATCTGTGAAATGTTTATTAATTTTCATGTATCTAAAAGAATATGAAAAAAACATTTTACTCAAAATTTAGTTTAAAGAATAGTGATCATTGTTTATTTAGAGAAAATTAGGGTTCATTTGAAATAAGAGCAATGTGGTACAATTACATGTACATGTACCTGGTTCTGTTATTACCCCTAATCTAGCAATTAACATCCTTCATGTACATGACACATGTGCATATATACGGTATGTACATGTAGGAAACACAAGGAGTAGGCTAAATAGCTTGTAAAAAATACTTGTGAACTTGGTGCCACTTGAAGAGTTAATTGATTCACATGAGAAGGACTATGACCAACACATCATGAGACTTTGCTAAAATAAGTATTCATGGTGAATGGCAAAATGTGACATTTCTTATGAGTTACAGACTTGAGGTTATCTGATTTATACTTGGACTGAATGCCATGCCCTATGGGATACATGTGTACACATGTATACATCATGTATAATCTTCTAAATTTAAGGCTTAATGGAGGACTACGTAGTAATTCCAAGTGCTAATTTGTCTGCGTCAACGTCTAAGAATATCGTCACCCAAGGCCACTGCGATTTCTGCAGACTTAATATACAAATACATGACCACATGCTTCTTAAAATTATTGATGAGGGCAGGTCCAAGCTATTTGGATTGTGACGTACGGGACATTTAGAGACTTTTAAAATTAATTAAAAAATTGGTCAGAACTAAAACTTTCCACAAATGAACTAGCCCATAATAGCCACAGACTCATACCAAAAGATAGCCATATAAATAATTTCATCTGTTGTTATTTCTTGTTTAAAGTCTCTAAATGTCCCGTACGTCACAATCCAAATAGCTTGGACCTGCCCATGAATAATACTGATTGGAGCTGTCCACTTATAGTGTATATTTGGTCCTTTTGGTGAGAGATTGGTACCTTCAGCAGACTTTTAGGCAAACTACAGTCAAACCTGCTTTAGTGACCACCTCTCTACAAAGACCACCTGTCTACAAGGACCACATTTATTGTTTCCCTTGAAAATGGTTTCTCATTGAAACATGTACTTAAGGAACCTGTCTACAAGGACCACCTGTCTACAAAGGGCACTTTTTGTGTTTCCCTTGGGCGGTCGCTATAGACAGGTTTGACTGTATTTAGTCTTCGCATCCAAAATTTGCATGTACTGTGCCTTGGTTGAACATTTTATTTTCCACACTGATATGCTAGGCAACCTTCAAACTGTAAATTACAAAAATCTAATGGTAGGCCTAATGATTTGATCTGTACACATAGACCCATGTTAATCTTTTCTTGTTGATAACCCAAACTACCTCCTGCTTAATTACTACTCAATCCCCCCCCCCCCCCCATGAAGTACACCTCACCTCACGTATCCCCAGATCCCCCAACCCCCCCCCCCCCTTCCCACCTAAATAAAAATATATCTCTCATAATGTGCAATTGATCCCGTACACTATTTTGAGACTTGAGTTGCAGAACAAAGAACTAATGACAAGAAGGTCTTGGAACTTTATGGGCTTAGTACAATACATTTTAAAAACTGTATCTCTTACAACATAAATGTACTTTACCTTACCTCTCGTCTGAAAACCCTGAATAATAGCAGGTGTGCGTCATGATTTTCACCTTTCACAGGAAGGCAGTAAATCCTCATCGCAAACAAAGCATAGTAATTTTAAGATTGAAAAGAAGATGAGTTTCCACAAGCAGTCTTTAGTCGCTTTGAAACGATCTTGCATGGATGTGTTCACATTGCTGCTGCTCTTTCACCAGTGCACAACTGTGGGGCAAAGTTTCTGTGTAAAATTAAGCTACTGGTATTTAATTCTTGTAAACAAATAATACATGTTCAAGTATTATAAAAGGAAGTCTTATAATCAAGTGTGTTCAAGATTTTTGACATTTTTCTAATGAAATTTTAATTGCAAAATGCAAACTAAGATCCACGCCCCCTCTCATTCCCAGGACCCGCACCACACAACACCACCCCATCCCTACCTACAGTGTACTACTCAGCCCGCCCCTCACCCACCTCACCTGCCTCACCCCCCCTCACCTGCCTCACCTGCCCCTCACCCCCCCCCTCACCCCCCTCACCCCCCCCCCCCCCCACCCCCTCACCCACCTCACCCCTCACCCCCACCCCCCTCACCCCCCCTCACCCCCCCTCACCTGCCCTCACCTGCCCCTCACCCCCTCACCCACCTCACCCTTCCCCTCACCTCACCCCCTCACTCCCCCCCCCCCCTCACCTGCCCTCACCTGCCCCTCACCCCCTCACCCCCTCACCCACCTCACCCCTCCCCTCACCCCCTCACCCCCCCCCCCCCCCCCCCCCCCCTCTCACCTCCTCACCCCCTTCCCAATTTATACCCAGGACTCATCCGGTCACCCTCCCCATTGCTCTTGGACCCACCCCTCGCACTGAACAATGTTCCCCTTCACGTCACACAGCATACATTTTGTGGAAATTAGATTAAACCTAAAGAGCATAGCGGTAAACAAGGCCAGGGCAGGAAGTGTTTGGTTGGGACTGGTAAAACAGGAGAATTAAAGAGACCTGTAATTTAGTTCTCATGTTTTCTTTGACAGCATGAACAAGGTATGAAGAAAATGGTAATAGAAATGATCCCTTTGTAACTTTGTAAGGTTTTTTTTTCTTAATTTCAGAAGCCGCTGGCCATATATCCTTAATAAAAAATGGTTTTCTTGAAACCTCATACATTGTAGGTACAGATAATAAAAAAAAACGAGGACATTCAGAACAAAAGAAAATTTGTTTGTTCATACATGTATGGCAACCAAGAGTTTATAAACATGAAATATGTATATTACTAGACCAAACATTAATTTTCAGTATGGCTAATTAGAATTGGTAATGTACACCCATATCTACCAGTTGATCAGCTAATTAATTCAAACATGTGATGAATTCATTAAACAAAATTGAAGAAATTGGGGATTTAAATGATCTTGATGGCCTGAAACCCTTGAATCAGTGTAATGTAAACTCAACCATTCACGTACCATGCAGGGTTACATGCAGGATGTACATTGTCCCTACCAACCTACATGTACGCGCGCATGCAGTATCTCACCAGAGTACCAGACACTCCGCTGTTGACAGCTGCGATTAGCCCGATGTGTCATTGGTTCTAGAGGTTCACTCCGAGGGCAGCTTAACCACTCATAGCTTGGAATGCCTTATTGCCGTAATACACGTAGCTCTTTAGACTCTCATAATCCATCGTAAGAGCTGGGAGTCGCCCTACGCCTTCTTTTTCGTCAAAAAGCACATGAAGATGTCATTTTTCGAGGGACAAAATTAGTCTAATGAACATATGAAATGGATTTGTTTGGACAAATTTAGTTCAGCTCATGGATGCATTGGTTGAAGTCGAGTTGCTTTTGAGAAACGACTTGACTTGAGAATCATTTTTGGTGTTGGCCTGGATCGAGCTGTCGAGGTTCCTTTGAAAGTGGTGCATTGTTAGTGGAAGTAACTATGGCATTGATTGTGGCAAACTTGATGCGAATACTGAAGCATCTGATTGGAGGCTGTTTAAAACCAAAGAAAAAGCGGTAAGCCTGGTGACCAACGTCCATTGATACATTTAGGCTTTTATCTTTTGTCATTCTAAAATTCCCCTTAAGAACATTTTGTTGAAGGGTAGGGAATAAATTTCCTCTCTAAGAAGCAGCATCATTCTATTATCTGCTAAATCTATCTTGTCCGTAAGTTAATAGTTGGAGTGAAAGAGAATACAATTAGTTGATGTCTTCTTCTTTGTCATGTAGTAAAATCCCGAAAAATCTTTTGTCAATCTATCATTGTTTTCTTCCTCTCACTTTAGATTGACCGTCCTGGATATTCTCCCTTGGGAAGATGTTTTAGTCTCCAGAATTCTGCCCTTCATGAGCCTCACAGACTTGTTTCAGTTGCGACAGGTGTCCTGCGGTTGCCGAGATGCTGTAGCGATATTCTTTGCCTCCAATCATCACCTTGACCTGTCTGCTGTAGGACCTGAATTCACCCAGGATGCCTTTCGCGTTGTATCTGCTGAGGCAAAGAACCTCACCACGCTGAACGTTGCCAATTGCAAGAAGTGGATCACTGACGATCTAATCCTGCCCGTCATCGAAGCGAATAGAAACCTGCGGGATATCAGCATCTCTGAGAACTCGAGTCTGTCGACCAACGTGGTGCGGAGGATAGCCACCAGGTGTCCAGACCTGTGCAGCCTGTCCCTTGCAGAGTGTCAACAGGTGACGTCGACATCTGTTGAGTGTGTCGGGATGAACTGTGACCAGCTGGAGCACCTGGACCTCAGGGGATGCTGGGCTATGGACGATGATACTCTCAGTCTGGTCCTGCAGCTACACCCACAGCTGAAGTGGTTGTCTGTAGCCAGAGCGTATGGTGTTACAGATCTTCTTGTGGATCAGATATGTACGTACTGTCCAAACATTGAGTACTTGGATGTTGAAGGGTGCTGGAGAATCACAGATGCTGCAATTCGGTAAGTGGTTTTTGTTGTTGTTGTAATTTACTGTACACATTACTACCACATTACTGAGAATCTCTGTCTTCTTCTCCTGTTTGATGAGATGTATTCTTGTAAGGTAAATAACTTAATATTACTTGTCAAATGTATGGCCTGCTGACAAGCAAAACTACAGCATTCTTGAGGAATATGATTACTTATATATTGAATGGCTTTGAGTGTGATACAAGAATATATTGCTCGAGCTATGACAATATTGGACGAGTCAAAGACGAGTCTAATATTGCCTTAGCAAGGGCAATTTATTCTTGTACTGTATCAAAAGATAACAAAGCCATTCAATATTATTATTATCTATATTATCCTGACTAGTGAAATAACAAAATTTGACTTACTGTACCATGGTAATATTGATTTGTTTTCGTGTGATATCAATATCGATAGTTGAAGTTCCCGGAGAACTGAGCAATACAGAGACAATATTGGTCAGTAACCGGGTACTGCGCTAAAGATATTGAATGTACTGATTTATTGTACCACTTAAAAGCCTTACATGGATAATAATACCTAATATTGTCCTTTCATTTTATAAGCTTATTTGTATAATAATAATAATAATAATAATAATAATAATAATAATATGTCTTGTTTACCCAGGGTAGCCTCATCAGTATTCATACTGTTCTCCCTGAGGGCCCTGCAATCATATTATTACCCCGGTCATCAGATTCATCTTTGTCAATGTCAATTAAATTGAAGATTAATGAAGCAATACATGTACATGTAGCTTAGACTAAGCACTGAAAACAAATAATTGCATAATTGAAGCACATTTTTTATTTCAGAAACATTGAAAAGCTGATAATGAAATGAAATGTGATATACATGTATATGCACAGCTATCAAAGAACGGTAAACTACATGTATTAGAGAGTTGACTTTGGATGGCCTCTCTTCCAGCATTGAATATCTATTTTGTACCCTCCTTTTCCCCATTTATTTATTTGAACAGCCAATTATGGAACTTGGAGAGCCTGAAAACTTTAAAAGTTAAAGACTGTCGCTATATTACAGAGAGAAGTCTCGCGAGGTTCCGCGCCAAAGGGGTTCAGATTGATGTATTGCTTCCAGAAGAGAGCGATCTCGCCAAGTTAGAGCGCCATCTACGGGCTAGGGAGTTTGGACGAGCAAGGAGTATACCACCCAACTTTGCGTTATGATGTCATCATGCATTGTATTTCAGTCTACATACGAATGTACATGTACTGTATGTGCCACAGTTAATTTAACATATTTAAAACAAGAACAAAACCCCAAGAACATGGCATTTTTAAAATAAAAACTGTTATTTCTTTTATTTTCTTCAATAGTAATTTTGTACTATGCACAAATGAATTGATATGAAAAAAGTGTCCTCAATAGGTTTCATAAGTTTAAAGTACAGTACAGGATAGTGAATTTATATGTACATTGCACATGTACATGTATAAGGAAGCAGAGTTGAGAGTTGGTATTCAGGGTTGGTTTGAAATAATGCATGTCATTGCATGATGCACTGGCAAGTTCTCAAATTCTCATTCCCATCTGTTATCAAATATCAACTACTACAGAACAGTATATATCAGTTCAATTTGTTGTGTTTTTGTAGGGGATGGGGGGGGGGGGGTCTTTGGTTTGTCACTTAACAATATTTTCTAGTTTAAAAGCGACTTTACATTCCAGCAGTATGTTTTCAAAATTTAGTTGGTTCTGGTTTGAATCTACATCTAGCACATCCAATAAGACAATTCCACACATATATATATACATATACATAGGAAAGTATGTATTTGAGTATGAACATGTATACCAGAAATGTTTGTTTTGCACAGTGCCTTGTTAAATTTTAAATATTTGGTATTTGTTTTATAGTAACACAGTTGGAGAGACAAAAACATGTAGAGGTGTTGTGGTCTGGTTGACAAGTCTTCAGATAGTGCACCAGTGTGAATCCCTGTCGCAGCACTAACGTCCTTTGGCAAGACATTAATCCTACATTTGCCACACTCGACCCGGGTGGAGTGAGTGAGTGCCTGGTAGGATTCATATTTCATTCCTTGAATACACTGAGCACTACGGTTGCCGGAGCTAAAGCCAGGGTAATAATATCCAAAGTCCTGTAGATGCTCATTAGAGATTTTTTATATGCACTATACAAGAACAGCATATTATCATGTAACAAAACTGTCATAAGAAGCAAGTATTCCGATTATATATGTAACATGTAATGTAGATATCCGGGAAGGGGAAAGTAATTTATTTGTACCAGATTAAACTGATCATTTGGCCTTTGGTCTCTGAAACACATGTAAGACAAGATTTTGCAAGCGTAGCTGAAGACATATTGAATATTTTCCAAACCCTTTAAATGACATTAATACATTTCCAGTTTTACTTGGCCCTTATCTAGCTTTCATACTTTTTCTACCAGAATTGTTTTAGTAAACATTATTTATTCTTGATCATTAAGTGTACCGGTATGTTTCATTTGATTATGTGGTACTATAATTTCTGACATTACTAGAACATAATATTTGATTTAGTGCAAGCTAATCTTTGACACAGAGATAATCTATTGATTAAAATTTGTAATTTAACACCATAATATGGAAGCTGTAATCCAATATTAAGTGAGTTAATGTGGAAATACGTATTGGTATAAAGTAAAATGATAACTCATGTGAACTGTGAAAAGTGTACAACATATATAATTTCAATTTCCAATATTCAATGTTGTGATATTTGAAACTCCATTGATAATTTGCCAACAAACTCCTGGGTTTTATAGGAAGTTGTATTTAATGTTCCCATATTGTAACAGGAGATACTCCATGATCTTTGAAAAGTTTAATTTAAGATATTATTTCAACATCCAATATTTCATGTTGTGATCTTGGATGCTGCAATTGATCATCTATTAATTATAATTTGCCACCAAACACCGGGTTTGTATCAATTATGTGTTCCTAGATTTAATGTAACATATATTTGTCATGAATTAAGAAAAGTTAATGTGGAAGATATTATTTCAATATCCCATATTAAATGTTATTTGATACTAATAATCTACAATATTAATGCTAATTTGCAACCAAACTCCTGGTATTTATCGGAAGTTGTAATTCTGCACTCCTTAATCCTAGATTCAATGTAAAACAATATCTGATGAACTTTTTAAAATGTATTAAAGATATCATGTATCAATATCAAATATTTAATGTTAAAGGTGATATTCAACACTCCAGTAATTTATTGATTATAAAAATTTGCCACCAAACACCAGTTTTGTATTGTTAGTTCTTAGATGTTATGTAACAGGAGAGTTTTCATGCACATTGAAAAGTTTATTTAAAAGAAAGCTTTTCAATATGAATATTGAATGTGAAGTGATATCAGAAACTCAAGGAAATTTTTAAACTGCAATTTCTTTCATCTTGTACCAGATTTACATGTATATGGGGAAGTTGTAATCACATGTTCCTATGTTCATGACCAACAGATATCAATACATTTAATGAAAGATCAATATCTGGACTTATTACACGAGATTGAGTATTAACATAATTTGGTTCTATGAATAGAAAAGGGAGACCGAAAATACATCTCTACCAAGATTTCCTTCAAGACTTTGTGTGTGAGTGAACTTCAAGTTTAACCATACTCAGAATCAAAGGAAATAGTCATCTGGAAATAGTTTTGATGTAAGATATTTATAATCAGTTTTATTTTACTCTTTCTGAAAGATATAAATAGACAGATTTATATATACAGGTATATATAGTCACAAACAATCAAGAACAGAATTGAACAAACATACAATTTGAGAAGGATGATCAACAATTATAGTATTTTCTTGTTTCACACAGCAACATGTACACATAATATATCTTCAACATCTTGCATATTTCACAACATTAAACTTTTGAATATTAAAATATTATATATTATATTATTTGGCACGTGGAATTCTGTTTGTACTGCATGAGACCCATCAAGTTGTTTTCTATTCTTATAACATTCAATATTGCCAATTTGATGAATACTAAAACAAATGTGCAGTTATGATTGGAACGAATTATTGTATTTTTTAAAATCTAAGTTTTTAATATGAATACTCTGTATATTGAATCAAAATCCTGGGATCCGTTTCACAAAGCATTTTTTTCAATGACAAATGACAAAAATCAGTGACAAATCTGCTGATAACCAATCAGAAGCAAGGATTTCAATAGCTTATAACAAAAACTGTCATTTGTCACTAATGACAATTAACAAATTTTGTGAGATGGGGCCCAGGATTAAATATTTTGGATAGATTTGCATTTAGTTACAGACATATCTTCTGCCTTTTGAAAAGCTAGTAAAAAAGAAGCTTTGCAATGAATTAGTTTTAAGGAAACATCCACTGTAATAAGTTAAGTAATACATGTAGTAATACTGTCAATTAATAGGTCTACTGATAAAAGCTTTTGTCAGTATTTGACATGCGCAGTCCACAGTAATTTAGTCAATTTAGTAACATTGTCATTCAACATGCATAATAAGAAGAGTATCTCGTCTACAGTTAAGTTATGCATTTTCAGAAGGACAACTTGTGACACATTTTGATGTCATCTACCTGGTTAAAACTTGAAAGTGTTAGTATTCATACCGACATCTCACATTCAGCATTGAGCACTTTGGGTCCACAGACAGGCAGGTTGTAATTGGTTGCTTCCTAAGTATTAAACCATCTAGGGTTTCATGGGTACTGTCCAGTATCCCTTATAACATAGGGGCACCCCACAAATTGCAGGAAACATATTACGTAATGCAGACTCCCACACACTATTGTCTAGCTTCTTTCAATTGTTCTCTCTTAATGCGAAGGTCGAGTTCTGATAAATATGATGAATGAGTAGCAAATTTTCTTCTTCTTGCACATGAACACATTGGTACAAAACATCTTCGAACCTCTTAAAAGTACAGGATTTTAACACTATACATGTAATTTGTGAAGATAAATGTTAAAGGTAAAGACCAGTTATGGTCATGCGATTGCATTGTGAAAGAAACGTTGTGGAATCGATCAGAAAAGGTTGATCATCTAGCATCTGCAAGGTTCTGGAATCAACAAAATGATAAGAAATTTGGCCCATTCTTCGTAAAGTTACAAGCACTATACACAGAAAGATGTATATGGGACTACCCTATATCTCTCACAGACCAATGAGAGAAACAAATTTACCAAATATATGAATTAGTAGGCGGTTTCCCGGCAAATTTGTTATCATCATGTATTAGTCAAAACATATTCTTTCACATGATTGGTAATGAGAGCTTCCATTTCATTTTTTAAAATTGGGGCGTTTCCAATACTGGTCTTTACCTTTAAAATTGAATGAAAAACATTTTTATAGACATACACTTTGCTTTTCTGTTTTCGTTTTACTGTAAATGTAACTACCACATACTGTAGTTTGTTGAGAGCCAGAATGGCATTAACTCATATACTTTAAATTAGAGATAATGCCTTCCTGGCTCTTAACACATTAAATTGTGTTTCATATTATTATGTATAAATAATACGTATTCAAAGAGGTTTGTGAAAGACAGGTGAAATTTAAGGACAAGGCGTTCACTGGCAAATCACGGTATGCATCACGGCAGTGTATTATCCTGATATATTTTAACACAAGTGCTGGCACAAAGAAACGATATATTATGTCCCTTATGTAGTATGTGTGTGACACGATACAATATAAAAATGTGAATTAAATGTCACTTGAAAGCTGTAATTCTAATGACTCTGTGTTGTTCCTGATGTTTTCTTCATTGTTGATTCTACTCTCACTTGGTTCTATACACAACAAACAACCCAAACCTGTTTGGGATTAGAAATGTGGCTAAACTTTTTATAGAAAAAAAAGATGAATGTGATAGATGGGTGAAATGTTCTGGTCCATGTGAAGTTATGCGCTTCATTATATTTGTATTTGATTTACTTCAAACTTTTGATATACTGCCTCATTGTGAATAGGCACTATTACGAAAGAATATCGTACAATTAAGAATACATTCGAATTGCATCAGTACAAAATATGACACCATTCTATTAAAATCAAACAAATTGAGGGGTCAGTGACACAAATACGTAACTCCATTTTGGCCATTTTGAGAAAAAGTGGTTTAAAGATAGAGGTCCACTTGGGCCTTAAGGGTTAAGTCTATGTTTCACTAGCAATCAACTTCAATGGGGGTGTTGGGTGGAGTTAAGTCTTGTGTTTCCTGGAAAGCCCACATTCTTCTGAACATTTTGATATCAAATACTCGTTTTGGCAAAACATGGAGTTACGTCTTTGTGTCAATGAACCTTCGTAATGACCTTTTTGGCATAGAAGACTAGCATCATCATAAGATATTCCCAATGTTAAAGTTAGGGAGGTCCTCATCGCTCTCTTCTGAATCTGAATCTACCACGTGTTCCAGAGGAGAGTAGGAGATACTGGCATCTGGCATTTCTGAGGGTTCCTGTACGACAGGAACTCTCCTCCCCTGGGAAACGACTCCTTCAGAATCGGAAGATTCCTCGTGATTTGCGCCCCGTTTAGCATCGCCAATGTCCTTGTCTTTTGGTACGGTATCCAGGTTAACTAGGGGCAAGTCATGCCCTTCTGAATACGGATGAGGTGAGTATGTAGTGTTGTCCACTTGAAAAGCGACGGGTATAGTTGCAGATACAACTTCTCGTGAGCGGGGCGATGCCATACAGTCCATTTTTAATCTGGCATTGCTCAGTCTCTCATCTTCAGGCGGGGTGCTCAGATCTATACAAGGCAAGTCATCATACCCTATGGATGAAATGGGTGATCCTGTAGGGTGCAGCAATGTGTTCTTAGAACAGTCCATTTCTAAGACGGCGGGCTTGCAAGCATTGCTAATTCCAGATACACTTGGTGATACACTGCTTACAAAATCTTCTGAAAATCAGAATTATAAGAATAGTGTTGAAAAATACATATACTGAACTATTGCAATCATCCAAGTAAAAATGCAATAATAATCAAAAAGCTGAATACTGACGTAAAGCAACAAAGCAACAACAAAAAATGCTCTATATAGCTACTGCAGATTTTAAATCAATACAGGAAAAAGGAAAGATCTGTTGTTGTCCAAATATTATTAACATATAACAATGTAAAATTTGACACCATGATATCATCATAGACTGGACTTGAATTACAAAGCTCTTGGGGGAATAACTTGAGGGAAAATATGTATTAGCTGCCCTAGAATTTAAGGAAAATAAAGTATGGAAAGAAACAGAGGAATTTGGAGAAGAGATAAAGAAGAAGAATAACGATCAAGAACCCATTACCATCAATGCTATCCAGTGACATGGCAGGGGAATGCTCTCTCTCGCTCCTTTCCAGCTTTCTTCTTTTACCCCTCGTTCTTCTAGGTCTCTCTGCCGGTTCCAGGTCAGCATCTTGTTTCAGTTCCCTCAGTCTCTCCTCCCACTGCTTCTGGAAGGCCTTGGAATCCTGGATTCCATCTGATCTTTCTGTATTAAAGACAGAATAAAAATCCATTACAGTTGAACTTTTCACCTACTTCAAATTTTAAAGTGTTGTAGTATTGTTCAAGTCGAGTGTTTGGAGTAATGTGTAAATTAATGTACTAGATAAACATGTATTATAGATATCTCGACTGCAACAAGAGGCCTGGCTGTTTTTATAGGCTCAAGGCCCCCCCCCCCCCAGGCGCGCATCAGGGTCATGGCAGGATGCAACGTCCCGAGAGCCAGTATAGAAACAGCCAGCTGTTGAATATTAAAGCAGTCGATATATCTTTTATATACCAAATTGACACAAAAATCTACCAAAAATTCTTACCTTATCCTTTTCTTGAGTAAAGATTGGTTAAAACATCACAGAAAATATGAGACACTGTCTTTTAAAATCATTTGAGAATCGCACACAAAAAGCACTGTATGGTATCCGCGCTCACACACAGCAACTTTTAATTCGTAAACCAATGGGGATCTCATCAAAATTTTACTATTTTCCTGGTACCCGGAATCTTTAGGGAATCTCACGCATAAACTATTGACCGTTACTTGCATCGTTCGTTTCTTTACGGAAATGGCTAAAATCACGACTCCAATTTCGACCAATCAGATGGCTAGATTTTCTTGAAGGAGGGGGGGGGGGGGGAGGGAGGTGTCATGTCTTCAAATAGCACGACATGCAGATACACTGAAGCTATACCCTGATGGACTACACAAATGTGTAACTTAAAGAAAATGATGAAATGGAGGGTTCAGTGACACCAAGACGTAACTCCATATTTTGCCAAATGAGTATTTGATATCAAAATGGTCAGAAAAATGTGGGCTTTACAGGAAACACAAAGACTTAACTCCACCCAACACCCCATTGAAGTCAATGGCTTGTGAAACACAGACTTAACTCCGGCCCACTTTTTCTCAAAATGGCCAAAATGGCGTTACGTCTTTGTGTCACTGACCCTTCAAAATGAATGAATTTTTATTAGTACATATTTGACATTACCTTGGCATTTGTGGACGATCTCTCCCCAGAGCTGGTTATCTGAAAGCATCTTCATCCCTCCAACAATCAGAAGATGGTTCTTGGACCTGGTCAGTGCAACATTGGTTCGTCTATGAAGAAATACATTGGAAGAATACATTGACCACTTTGTTGCTCCATCTCAATAACATTTGGGGGGCATCTGGTTTTCTGTTTTTTTCTAGATTTAAAACCCCAGAATAAACGATATTACATGATCAACAACTGAGAATAACATTTTGAAAATAATAATCAAATACAAGAATAGTTAGTGTACTTTCCTGGCACTTACTTGTCAGAGTCAATGAATCCGACTCTCTGAGTCCTGACACAAGACAAGATGATGATGGACTTCTCCCCTCCTTGGAAAGCATCTACTGTCGATATCTGGATGGCTTTCAGTTCACTACTGTTCTGGGTACTGTTAAAGTAACAAAACAAATTTGTTGATTCATTGATCTTTACACAAGAAAAGAGAAGAGCAGAGAAGATTGGAAAAGACAAGACAAGACATGAAGAGTCTCTTTCCTGGAAAGCATCCATGTTGATATCTGGATGGCATTCAGTTCACTACACAAACTGTTCTGATTGCTGTCAAATAAATAAGACTGAATAAATCAGAACAAATCTATTGATTCATTGATCTAACTCTTAACACAGGACAATACAAGACAAGATGAGACAAGAGAAGACTCAATTCCTCCTTGGAAAACATCGACTGTCAATATCTGGATGGCTTTCAGTTCACTACTGTTCTGGGTACTGGAAGAAAAGTTACAGAATTTAAGATGATAAATGGGCTAGCCTAACAACTGTTTTTCCTACACTCTACCAAATGCATCAAATAGTGTATTGTACATGGTGATTGGTTAATAAAATTGTAAAAAATAGAGAAAGAGAAAGAAAGAAAAAATTATTGGGGGTTTACCAAAACCATTACATGCATTGGTTTTTAACATAACTTTTGAGCCTCTTGATCTTATAAACCTCGGATACTAAAGTAAACCCTCAATCAATCAATTCACTATAATCAAACTATCTATCCTACATACCTCAACCAATAAATGAAAGCCACCTTAAACGCTTAAAGTTAATACACCTTCCTAGACTTATGTACCTCGAGTCCACCCTCATTAATCTTAATCCCACATAGCTAACACCCATCCTTCAAGGTTACATTAATCTCTTCTCTAATCTCAATGATAATCCATACATCTTTAAGCTTATACCTCCAAGGTTCTTCACGACTGATCACCTGATTACCAAGTGAGCACGGATATTTTTTTTCAAATGCGTGGTAAGGCATAATATATGATCTTATCCTTAAATGAATTTGGTAGGGGGATAGGAATGGTATGCCAAGATTTGTATATTTAACTGCAGGAATCTGCTTGTGCTGCTTATCATTTCTTTACTGTCTTTTTTATATTTTTCAGCACACCCATAGATGTTTAATATTCAAATTTGAAGTAACACATACATATTTGGATAAATAAATAGTGTACACAACTTTAAAGATGTCATCAAATAGATTTCTTCAATTTTTATCATCATTAGACCCATCTATAGGGATGAAAAGTAACGGGCTTGGAAATAACAGACTTGCATTATCTAGCAAATATCCTTGTAGCTCATCTCAAAAAAGCAAGAAGGGCATTGTCTCACATCATTCAAAGTAGGGCAATGCCTTTCTTGCTCTGAGCAGACAATACCATGATGTTTATATCAACTGGACATGTACAGTAAACAACTAAATTTGTCATACCCTTACCAAGTTTTGTAATTTTTTGAGTATGTGAAAAATTGATCGTTTCGTGAGCATGTTACATCTTAAAGCTTATTTCTAAAAGCATTCAACAGAGGCCCCAATTTGACCAGTCAACCTTTCTTTCTTGAGTTACAAAAAACACAAAAACATCAAATGCACAAGGGGTATGAATAATTTAGTTGTTAACTTTATACTGCTGATCAGAGCCAAAAGGGCATTAATTCATGAACACAGGGCTAATGCCATTCTCGCTCTTAACAGCCAATATAATGCATTCTACCTTGCTGTCTGTAGCAGCATCCTGATCCTGCTGACTTGAGCCTTGTAAAGTGTAATGACCCCTACATCGGAAGGGGAAATCCCCATCTCCATCATGCTGCTGATCAGGAACACCACAAAGCTTGCCTCGGGGTCGTTGAAGTAGCTACCATCCCTCGCACTCATCTCACGACCGTGGGAGATGTTGAAGAAGCATAGGGTTGGGAGGTTGGGCTACAGTCAAAGATAAAGAATCATTACACATCAGGGGGGGGGGGGGGTGGGGTTTCACAAAAATCTTAAGTCGAACTTAACTCTAAGTTGGACATAAACATTATGGAGAGCCATTTGTAGCCTTAAAATGAAATATATTTGACAGCAAAATTTCAACTATTTTAGACTTTTCATAAATTCCACATCAAGAACATGAAATCTCCTTGATAATAGAAAATATAAATGATTTGTATTAACATTTTATGCCTTTTGAAATAACTTTTACAAAATGATTTATAAAGATGCTAACAGCTTTCCATCATTGTAAAGTCCAACTTACAGATAAGTTTGACTTAAGATCTTTGTGAAACACCCCCGTGGTCTCCATCGTATTAAGAGTTGTGATTGATCCAACTTGATCGCATGTCCTCTAATCAATTGTAACTTTACAGCCTTCTATCTTTTATAAACATAGTTGCGGTTGATATCAATTCCAAATAAACTGCCACTTCATTTGCGATAGGAGGCTGTACACTTGCCCTTGATTGGAGGGCTTTCGATTGATTCAAATCAATCGCAATTCTTTATAAGACGGGGCCATGGCAAGCTAATGACGGTCTCCTCAATGGAAAGAAATATGAGGGGCATAAAAACGATTTCAACATAAATTTGTTACTACATTGAGCAAAGCAAGGAACCATTTGAAGAAGCACAATGTAGGGAGGTTGGGCTTCAGTCAGTGACAAGAATTCAATCAGTGTATTTCAAATACCAGAAATGTACTGGCTTTTTAATATTGATAATATATTCAATGGAGAAATTTAATGTGTGAAGATGCATAAAACCGTTGAAACAAACACACACTACTTAAAAGAATCAAGCAATGCCGGACAGTAATGGGGAGAGTTAATTGTCAACATTTGACCAAATGTAAAGTTTTGGGTTTCTCCAATTAAACCAAACTTTTGATGTGTTTGTGCTTCCCTCTTTATCTTTTACTTGTGTTTCTTCTCTCCCATAATAACTCTTCTCTCTCAATTCATACCTTCTTTTATTTTCATTCTCCTCTACCTTTTTTCCTACATCTCCTTCTGCCTTCTATTCTCCTAAACTATACCACTTTCCTTTTTGTCTTACTACAGTCAAACCTGCTGTAGTGACCACCTGTATAGAAAGACCACCTGTCTACAAACTCAAAGACCAAATTTTTTGTTTCCCTTGAAAAGTTTTTTTTCACTGAAACATGTACTAAAGAAACCTGTACACAAAGATCACCTGTCAATATAAACCCCTCTTCTTTTCTCCCTTGGGTGGTCTTTATAGACAGGTTTCACTGTGCTTGCATTAAGCAAAAGAAAGAAAGAGTGATAACATTTTATATACAATACAGACCAATTAGTGAAAGTCATTATCACTCTGAACAGACTGATACTCAATATCTGAAAGTGTAAGATCAGGCTCCATTTCACAAAACTTGACATCAGTGACAAATGACAGTTTCTGTTATAAACTACTGAAATCCTTGCTTGTGATTGGTTATCAGCGGATTTGTCACTGATTTTTGTTATTTGTCATTGAAAGGGGCTTTGTGAAACACCCCCCAGATGCTTACCAGTAAAGGAGGTCTGTCTTCTTCTATGACACCATCCAAAAGCTGGCCATCATAGAAGAGTGTGTTAGCAAGGCTACTGATGCAGGGATGGCAGCGGTACTGTGTCCTCAGCATGATGGGATCATAGCCCTATATCAAATATGGTCAAGAATTGAAAAAATCAAGAAATGCCTAATAAACACCTTGTGAAAGAATATCAACACTGTAAATGCTCTAATCATTTACCCATCAAGTAGGCCTCTTTAAATGATAGCAAACATACTATGAGTTGGGGTAATGACTCAAATAGAGAAAGAGACACTGGTTTGGAAATGGAAGAACTCCTAAAGATAATGGAGAGTACAACTGAATGGGTAAAACTTGTCAAGTACATTGTAGGTGCAAGTATATGTTATAATAATCTTGTAGTAGTTGTTGTTGTACCTACATTGTATGCATGTATTACATGTGTAAACAAAACAAATTTCCAAGACTTGGATGGGAAAAAAGGTATTTGAAAAAGCATTGAATTGAATTGAAAACTATGATTCAGTTAGAAATGAGTTCCACACAATTATTCAGATATTATTAATACCTGTGTGACAGTTTCAGTGGCAAAGTTCAGACAACATCCTGATAAAATTGTTCAGCAAACTATGATTTATTTTTGGAAACTACCGTTTCAAAACAGGCATAAAAGGTTATTTAGAAAAGTCTGGAATATCTCATTTACCATGAGTGAGTCTATCATAAAATTATTCAGCAAACTATGATTTATTTTTGGAAACTACTGTTTCAAAAAAGGCATAAAAGGTTATTTAGAAAGGTCTGGAATATCTAATTACCATGAGTGAAAGTCTATCAAAGAGGGTTTGTTCAAGTCCTGACTTGTGCGCTGACTCTGATCCCTGGATGGTAGGGTCGAGCTGATGTGGGTCTCCGACCAGAACAAGCTTCTCACATCCAAACCGGGCCATTGGGAGGAGGGATGATGGCTCGGTCATCTGACTGCATTCATCAAGCAACACAACCTGATATCAAAGACAGCAAAGTTGGATAGAACCAGTAAGTTTGGGTATTTAATATGTACTATCTGTAGCAAAACTACCACCACCACAAATACCAGCGCCACCATCACCATCACCTTCACCATCACCCTTATTTGTCATAACCACCACTACCACTACCAACCCCAGCAAATGCATCAACACCACCACCACCACCAGCACAATCATCACCACTATTACTTCTGTCAACTTACAGGGAAGGTTAGATTCTTGATGCAAGGGAAGCTGCACAAGTGACCCCAATGACCTTGACCTTTGATAACATCTCCTTGTTTTCCTAATACAGATCCTTCATCCCATCTACCACCATACACCACCACTACCACCACCACCACCACCACCACCACCACCACCATCACAACCTCCTCTATCACCACTACTACTACTGTCAACTTACAGGGAAGGTTAGTTACACGCCACACACATGACCCCAATGACCTTGACCTTGGCTAGCATCTCCTTGTTTTCCTACTACAAAAACCTTCATTACCACCACCACCACCACCACCACCACCACCACAACCTCCAACATCACCACCACAAACTCCACCACCTCCACCACCACAAACTCAACCACCACCATCACCATCACCACCACCTCCTCCATCATCACCACCACTACTCTTGACAACTTACAGGGAAGGTTAGATTCTTGATGCAAGGGAAGCTGCACGCTGCACACGTGACCCCAATGACCTTGACCTGGGAGAGCATCTCCTTGTTCTTTCCGAGCCTGTGTCTCTCGATGCTCTTCCTCACAAACTGCTTCTCGTTGACGGTGAGGTCTCCCTTTAACATCTCCTGTAACTCTTTCATCTCTTGGTTCTCCTTGTCTGAGGCATGGACACTGCAAGAGTCATAAACCGATTAGATTAATAATAATAATAATAATAATAATAGTTAATGTGTGTCAATTGTATTTGTTCTCACAATTTTATTTTGATGTTTGAATATAAATAAATACCTCATTAGAGGTACCAAAAAACAAAAAAAATAATAATAATAGTTTGCTCTTATAAAGCCCTTTTCAGGACCGCAGGCCCTCTCAAAGCGCTTTACAGATATATATTATTACCCCGGTCATCGGATTCAGGCTTACCAGCACAAAATGTACATGTATGCACATTCTCCAAGATAGAAAGAGGGAGAAAGAGAACAAGTAAGAAAAGTGGGAAAGAGGAAGAGCGGAGACTGTGGGGAGGGGGGGGGGGGGGGGGGGGAGAGAGGGAAAGGGGGTAAGACAAAAAGGTATAATTTAAGCTAAAGACTAAGAGATTAGGAATGGTACTCATACCTGTATGGTAGGACAGGTTTAGCTATTTTTCTCAGGCTGCCAACACGAATGAAATCCTCAAATCCTAGCTCAAGAAGTCTGAAAGCAAAAGATAATAAAAACAGGAATACACATAAAACTACACAGTAATGCACTAACAAGTTCAATCTTGATAAAAATTTGCACATCATTATATTTTCATTGACTTTGAAATAACAGATTTATTAATAATCAGCTGATTTAGTATTTAAATACCTCTTGTGATATTCTGTTTGTTTGTATGTTTGCTTTACCTGACTGCTAAGAAAGCAAATGCTTGTAGGTAGGCAATGAGGGGACCAATCACAATAGGTCCTCTCGGAGGGAATTGGTAATGAGAATTAATGCCATACCAAAGGGCACTAGCGCATTGAATTGGTTCGAAAAATCTGGGACCTCCCTGTTATGAGATCACTGCTCTAACCCTAGCACCTCACTATTCTCACTTTACTCTCTACAAAGAAATCAATCATAGATAATAACAAACATTATAATTCTATTCAAGACTCACCCAAGGAGAATCCTATCTACCGCTACATTGGTGGTGGATGCAATGAGGACCTTCCATCCACCCTCTTGACCAGTGGTCTCACTCTCCTCGCTGAGCTTGAAAAGCTTGACCAAGAACAAGACCATGACAGCCAGCAGGTAGCTCTTACCAGCACCAAACACACCTAAATGAGAGGTCAATTTGGACAATGAGCAGATAATAATTTCAATTTCAAAGAGTGCCTTGGAATTTCTTGTTCTATGTGAAGGGGAAGTCCTCACGCGCAGCAAGTAGATTGATATAATGCAGACAAATCTAAGGATCTGTTTGAGGGCCCGTTCATTCATATAATAAAGAGGATCTACATGTATATTAAAGTTTAAGTGGTATATATGATAAAACAGGTTTAAATTTTCATCAGACATCTACTGACCATTTTCACTAAACTTCTACCTTTATTTTTAAAAATTGATCTTGATATTCACTTTATTAAAGTGAACTTCCACTTTACATGATGCCATGTATCTCGGGCCATAGTGAGAGTTGTAGAGACCAGCTGCTGAGACACAAAGGTAGATAGTATGGCACATTGTTATTATTATTTTTTTCTTTTCTTCTTTTCCTGTTTTTGATATTTTCTCCCTCTTCTTTCGCATTATTGGTACCACCTCATCATTTGACCTTATAAATTGTATAATTTGATTTTATTATTGGCGTAGTCCTCATCAAATCATTTTTTATTTTTGACTACTCCTGCTACTTTTGCAGATTTTTTTTCTTTTTAAATATACATTGCTTCATATGGAGTCGTTTATGCTGTAGATGTTCCATTATTGTATGTATGTATTTTAATTTATGTATTTTCCTATGTTTGGCATTTGTGGAGAAATAAATTGAATTGAAATTGAACTATTACAATTCAATATCTTACCGTGAATGAGTGTAACAGGTGGATCGTCTCCTCCCACCATACCAGCTACCTGATGTAAAGCTGATGACTGGTCTGGATTCAAGTGGTACAATCTGATGGTATCTTCAACTAGCTCAATCTGCAAAGAAAAACACAAGGAACAATATCCTTTCATATTGGCAATCATAATGCTTATCGTTAGTAATAGTCTACTCATCCGTGTGAGTCAATTGCAATTAGCTAGGCCGCTGATATGTTTGTTAGACACATACTATTTTCACTGTATTGTTTAAATTTTCAGCTTGTATATGAATGAATTTGATGGTGGTTGACTTCCCCATAAAGTGAAGATTGTAATAAATGCCCATAAAGATTTAAGACTTAAGATTTGACTTACGATGAGCGATGCTGGGAGATTGAGGCAACGTGACCTTGATGGTTTCACAAAGGCAGGTCCATGCAGGGAAGATGGGTTCCTCTCAGGTTCACTGTGATACATGTATAAAATGCATAATTATACAGTGAAACATGTAAATAAACACCACTCAAGGAAAGCAAGAAAAGTAGTCTTTATGATGAGGTGGTCTTACGTACAGGTTCACTCAGTCATGTTTCAATGAGAAACAATTTTTCAAGGGAAACAAAAAATGTATTCTTAACGGACAAGTGGTCTTTCTATACGGGTTGTCGCTAAAGCAGGTTTCACTGTATTAGAAATGTGAAGCCTACTGCACTGTGAGATACATGTAAATGCATACATTAGAAGAAGAAAAAGTGGTATCTACTACACTGTGAGACATTCAAATGGTCAATGATAACAGAGCTTAAAGGAGGAAACAGATTACAACTACAAAGGTCCACACAGATGTTAACTGCACTTTTCTGTGATCCAATTTTTGTATGCATGTGTGCTCGCTAGTCTACTCATGATTTGCTAACTACCTTTACAAATACTGCAATTTATGTATTAATACTTGATATTTGGATATTGTATGTTTGGAGCTATACGGGCGTTAAGTCATATACTTTAACACAGAGTAAATACCCTTCTGGCTCTGAACAGATGATGTAGAATACAAGCACAGAGCCAAAACATAAAGAGTAATAATATTTCTAATGATTTGTCACTTGAAATTAGGCCTGTAACCGATCATCAGATCAGGGGCCGATCTTGAGCCGATCAGGTGAGATCAGAGAATAATTTCCGAAAGCCGATCTCGAAAAATGATCTGAAAAAAATTAACAGATTTTTTATTTTTATTATAAAAAAACAAATTAATGCCAACATTTTTCAAGTTTTTGGCTATCAAATGCTTTTAAAAAAATGCAGAGCTGGGATTATTTTGTCATTTGCAGTCGTTGTAGACCATGTTTGTTTATATTTATTGCCTTTTCATGACTTTGAAATTAATTATATTGGTCTAAGAGAAGAGGCAAAACATGCGGGCCGCCATCTTGGATTATGATGTAGGCATGCAAGGGTGTCGCTCCGATCTTCCGATCTGATCAAAGCCCCAACTTATAGGGCTACTTGAAATTGCCTAAGAAAGTATTAATTTCATTCCATCCATGAAGAACCAAGGAGTTTGTTTACTTACCAACTGATGAGATGGGGCAGGATGGGGAATGTTCTGGGGTTGACGTATTCCTGTAGGTTTCCAAGACAAGTTAACTCGGAGCTAGCATTGCAAGCCAAGATTCCGTACACTGAACCTGTGAAAGCAACATATAAATTATTGTGAAAAAGATGAATAACGATGGTAGACACATTAATAATAGTAATTTCAAATTTACAGTGTAAAGTGCTTAGAAACATAGTATTTCTCTTTATATTATCCTCATTTTAAACAAGAAATATTGATTTATTACTATAAGGGCAAAGTCCTTTTTTTTTTCTCGCTATGAAAAAACGAACAACAAAAACGAACAACAAAATATCTGCGGCAATGTCCTTACAGATGGAGCACAGATAGGATGCACATCCCATAAACTGGACCAGTGGAGTACCCAATAAAGCCCCTCCAAGTCCCCCTCCCCCCCCCCCCCCCCAAAAAAAAAAAAAGTATTCAACAAAAAACAAAACAAAATAGATAAATAAATAAATAAATTAATAATAATAATAATATTTTTTTGTTGATAAATGCCCAGGAAAGAAATACAACTTCCATTGGATCTACAGCATGCTACAGCAGGGATGCCCATATATATACATTCATCCTATATCCAGGTCACGAGGTATGCACTGTGCAGTGGCCTAGTGAAACGCTAAAAAAGATATCACGAGCAGAATTCTTACCGTCTGTAGACCAGTTTGAGGGTGAGTATCCAGTCAGCGGTTCAATCTCAATCTCACTGGTGGAGGATGGCCCATGGAACATGCTCTTGGCAACAAAGGAACTTGATGGGTCAAAGGTCAAATCTTGAGTGATGATCCACAGGTCATCTGGAATCACAACAATTGAAGAGAAATGTTCATATCATGGTTCCTTAAAAGTTACATATTTATTTATTTACTTATTTATTTCTGCATGGTTCAACAGTTTACAAAGTATGATCATGACCATCACGGTAACACAAGGAGATTATGATCATTATACATTTGCAATTGTAAATGATACAGAAGCATACAGAGGTATGACAATATAAGGTTAATGCTTGAGAGATTGCCACACCTTATCATCTAACGTTATATATTCTTGGTTTTAAGCAATTTAATTAAATACTAAAAGTTAAATTTGAATACTATGGCCTGCCACAGACCTTTGGCATAGGTAGATGAGTGTTCTTTTCTGTCTAACTTGATGTACATCTTTTTGGTGGTGTTGTTCACTCGCTGTGCTCTGTACTTCTTAATCCAAGCCTACGATCAAAGAAAAACAATTCATCTACATTAAAGGTAAAGACCAGTATTGGTAACGCCCCAATTTCAAAAAATGAAATGGAAGCTCTCATTACCAATCATGTGAAAGAATATGTTTTGACTAATACATGATGATAAAAAATTTGCCGGGAAACCGCCTACTAATTCATATATTTGGTAAATTTATTTCTCTCATGGTCGTGTGAGAGAGATAGGGTAGTCCCATATACATCTTTCTGTGTATAGTGCTTGTAACTTTACGACGAATGGGCCAAATTTCTTATCATTTTGATGATTCCAGAACCTTGCAGATGCTAGATGCTAGATGATCAACCTTTTCTGATCGATTCCACAACGTTTCTTTCACAATGCAATCGCATGACCATTACTGGTCTTTACCTTTAACCATCACAGTGCTACAAAGTCCCAAAACATACTTAGAATTTATTTAACTGAGAATCTTTGTTCATCTTTATGCATGTTATATTGTAATAGCATACTGAGTTTTGTAAAAGCGTATCGTTAAATATTTATTTGAAGCAATAACACATATTTATAATTGTTTTTTTAGAAAAAATTCATGAGGCAAGGTTCATTTTGCATTTCACATTTGGAAAGAAAGATCAAATCTATGGTATCTCTCCTAGGAAAACTCATCTGCAGTGTTTCTAAGACACATGCTCTGTTGTCAATTTCGTACGCCAATGAAATTCCCTTCTTCAACCCTCGACTAAACAAACTATATCTAACCCTAACCCTAAACTTAATCTAAAACCCAATCACTACCCTACCCATGTATAGTTAACGGAACAAACGAAGGGACAAATGTTGCTGTAGCATTTGTCAGATCACCCCTGAAATGAAAGAAAACACTCCTCTACTAGAGGTGCGATGGATCAGTGGTAGAGCAGTGGTCTCGTAACCGCATTCTGAACCAAATCAATGCGATGGTGCCCTTAGGTAAGGAATTAACCCTCGTAGAAGACTTAAAGCCTCAAGTCCCCTGGTTGCTTACTTTCAAGCATACACATGCTTTCTTAGCAGTCAGGTAAAATAATCATCAAACAACTAACATCAATATAAGGACCCTAACAGAGAGGAATATGTAGAATTTGAAGAAAAATCAGGAGGGGTAGGAACTGGATTTAAGACATGTACCGGTAATAAAACTGGAAACAAGTAGGATAATTCAAAAGCGTAGGATTGGTCCAAGGAAATTCTTACCGGTGCTGATCCCAAGGGTCCCTCATTCAAACTGCCTCTGCGACTCAACTGGCATTCACAGTAGAGATGAACCTGGTTGGTCCTGGCAAACTGTTCAATGCTTTCAGCATTGTGAAGAGCAATCTTAGCTCTGGACTGTGAGGGTTGTTGAGTTGAAGTTTGTGGTGCCTGCGCTGCATGCTGATCCGCCCATACAAAGAACTGCAATTAAAGAGCGGAAAACTTTGTCAATAGACTGGTTTAACATACTCAAACTTTATGCTTAATTTTTAAACAAAGGTTGTTGATGACAACCTGAAGGCTTGCCTGACATAGCAACAATTTATGTATGCAGATTGGATTCCAAGTATTGCAGTTTATTCATTAATAACATGTTAATGCAATACCTCGTCACTATAGGTCCCCAGGAAATAACCGGTCTATTATCTCAGTAGAAATATATAGGAAGATGTGAGTTGGTCTAGCGGCACGTTCACTTGGTCAGCTCTCTGTCTTTGCCTACAAACTGGCTAAGGGGACCCCGGTTTGAAACTGACTCACGTCTTTTGGATGGTGACATTAAAGGTCAGTCCCCACATCAAAATAATCATATCTGATTGATACACGTCTGTAAAAACCTAATTACACACACACACACACACACACACACTTGTTGGTTTTTTACATACTTCTCCATGCTTTCAGCATTCTGCAGGGGGGGGGGGGGGTATCTTGGTTCTGGTCAGAGAGGTTTTAATCAATGGGCAGCAATAAAACATGAGTGACAGCAATGCTATGACTTTCTTTTGAAAATAATCCTAATTGTGAAGATGCATATGACTTTAGGGCTATTTGTATCATGATACAAATGATGTTCCAACATTCATATCTAAAATGAATATATTTATTTTTCCCTTACTACATATAATACAGTCAAACCTGCTTTAGTGACCACCTGTCTACAATGGCCACCTTTCTACAAAGACCACTTTTTTGTTTCCCTTGAAACATTGAAACATGTACTATAGGCGCCTGTACATAAAGACCAACTGCCTATAAAGACCATATTTTTGGTCTCCCTTGGGTGGTCTTTAGAGACAGGTTTCACTGTACTAATTGTTTTCCATCTAAACTGTTGGGGTGATCTCATTGTACAAAATACAAAGCCAAAACTTATAAACAATTTTCACTAAACTCTTTCACAGCCATGTCAGAGTGGTAAATTGTATCTTAGAAGAAGATAATACAACACACGCACAAAAACCGAACAACAAACCAACAACCATCTTACAACCACACCTACATGTACATGTACCATGGAAGCGTCATGGTGAAGTGATTCTGACTCTTGTATTTCAATCATAAGGTCGTGAGTTCGAAGCCCACTCCAGGACGTTAACTTCCTTTAGCAAAAAATTCATCTACATTGCGCTGCACTCCACCCAGGTGAAGTAAATGGGGACCTGGTAGGAATTTATTCCTTGAAGCGCAGAGCGTGTGACAGCTGCTCTGCTAAAGCCAGGGTAATTATGCTGCATTAATGTAGAGTGCTTAGAGACTTCTGATAAAGTAAGTGTTCGGCGTTATATAAGCAAATATAATTATTATTACCTTGCACTGATTCTCCCGTTGATTGTTGCAGGCGTAGAACATCCTGCCTTTGTTAGGACCATCCTTCTTGACACACACCATCTTGGCTGGTTGGCCATGCTTGCATGGGGGATTCCCCCCTCCACCACCGGTCCTCTCTGAGGGGTTTCCCCCGTGATGGGTCTTGGTGTAAGACGTGATGTCAGCTTTCTCCATGGTGGAGTGGTAGCGGTGGGAGAGCTCGAGGAGGAGGATGTTCAAATGCTCTGTTTATATACATGTACAAGGGAAGAGAGAAAGACATGTTACATTTTATTTGTCTATGACAATTATTCTCTCAGTTACAAAACAGAAGGCCTTAATTTCTTCAGTTTTTCTCATAAAGCTTCAATCTATTTTGATTTAATTACTTTATTTTCATTACACTCATCCAACATGCTTGCAATATACTGTTTTTGTAATTTTGTTGTTTTGTTTTTCTTGCTGCTTTGATGTTTTGATGTAAACATTTATTCATTTTTATATACTTTTTCCCCATTTGCTATGTTTTTCTTTTTTAATGCTTTGTTGTATAATTGTATGTATGATGTAAACTCACCATTTTAGTCTTTGGACTTTTTGACGAGATTGAATAAAACTAATTTGAATTGAATTGAATTGAATTGAACATGTTCATATGCCACAGAAAAACATCCAATTACAATATTAGGATCCCTGACTATGATCCCTAACAGTGGTACAGTATGACACAGAAGATTCTAGATTATTACCAGAAGTTCCAGAACTAAAGGAAACGTCTTAAGGGTAGCATTCACCTAATAGTTATTATATCTATGATTGGGGTTCCATGCAAGTACTGTAATACAAAATATCAACTTCAAATATAATTTCTTTAAGATGTATTGTAAGTTTAAATAATCTCAGATAAAAGCAAAATCAATGATTGAGTAGATCGACTTGTCTATGCACTCATGTACACTCACGAAGTTAACTCTGAGTTAATTACTATGTGAGCCTTAATATGAAATCACCTTTTTCCTGAAAGCTTTTCAATTTTCTTTGATCCTTTAAATTCAATATGAAATCAAGCTATCAAAGAAACCAACCTTTGACAGCCTCGGTCATAATCTGCTTGTAACTTGACACACTAGGAAAGGAGACTGGTATCACGATCTCTCTCTGACGTACTGATCCACTATGTACCGTGTCCGCCGCTGGAAAGTTGAGGTCACCACGCATTCCAATCTGTTATGCACACGAACAAGTCAAAGACAAAAGGAAAGCATATACAAATTTGCAATATATAAATATATAATATACACTGTAATGTATTCAATACATCATGTGTGATCCACATCAATTGTATTGTACATATTTTCTTGACAAAAGCATCTACCCAAATGCCAAAATGTTCAATTTACCAACAAATTGAGCAATGTGTATACAATTAAAAGATATAATACAGCAGAAACTTGTTATCACAAACTTCTCAGGATAAAGGAAATTACGGTATCATAATATAAATGTATATATATATCCCCCCCTCCAAAAAAAAAAAAAACAATAACAACAACAAAATGCAAGGATGTAGGACCAGCAAAATTACTTCGTAATTACATATTTTTGTTTTAACAGTGTTCTTTACAACTTAGGAGGTTCCACTGTATCTGACAGTTGGAAAGGTAATACAATATGCTATCATACAGGAATCCCAACTCGTTTAATAGCTTGAGTCATATGACTGCATTTTTATTGTTCTTCTGCATGTTTGAGGCAAACCAAAAAGTTCTAAATAAAAGCTGAGCATGTTACTTACATTTGACATCATGGAGACTGGTGTCCTGAACCCCTTTTTCACTTCTCTACTAGGTACTCCTCTTATAAGTGCATCTCCTGACTGTGTCTGGGAACCAGTCTTCCCAATTGCACTTTGTGTTCTATTCTGGTGTGCATGATGTAGTGAGGGTATGTTGCCTCTTGTGTTGCCGACTTTAATAGATAAATTGAAACAAAATTATTAGACACTTCATATACATCACAAAAGAAAGGGATTGTTGGATTCACAATTTCATGAGTTACGAAATACATCCAAACACTTTTTATCATTATCCTCATTCCAAACTTCCAATACAAATTATACATAATTTGGGGTGGATGCATAATTTTATGATTTATGCTCCACTATGGTTATGAACCTGAGGTTTAAATCATCCTGTTGGTGCCCCATCATGGCGGATGTGAGAAATAGAGTGTTCTCAAAAGCAAATGATGAATGCATTGAGTTCCAAGTCAGCATAATGACAAAGCAAAAGAATAAACATACAAATGATGTGTATCAATTAAATCTGAAGAAAACAATGGAAGACAAATTTACAAAAGAAAATCAGAAAATCATAACACACTAATGCAATTAGCACTGCCTTTGGAAACTCATCAGACATGTTACCACTATTAAGAAAGCAAAGTGGATATTGAAAATACAGACTAACATAGGTACCTTGTAAATCTATGTGTCCTACTTGTAAACCCTGTTGTGATGTCCCTACTCTAAACTGATTGCTTGGTTCATAGTTCTTTCTAGGCTGTACACTGTTTCCTGTAGAATGTAAACAATCTTTAACTAGCATGGGAACTCTATGTAATACATTGTTCTTTTGCTCTTGTGAGAAAACTTGGTTGTTACGGAAACTACTGCAGAGGATATCATCAGTGATGGAATCCTCACTGCTTGTTTCATGCACGTCCCGTGTTGACTGTCCATGCTCATCATCAGGGATTTTGCATGATGCAATTGTTTCAGCATTGTAGCTCTGGCTGTTCTCAAACTGTGAGGGATCACTAAGGATGTTTGTGACTGCTTGCACTGAACTTTCCTCAACTATCTCTCTGCGAAATATCTTTGGTAAAGGTGTGTTTGGTTCACCAGTGGGCTTTGAGATGAGTGGTCTGTGATTGAAGGTCAGTTTCCTTTCACGAGAAAGAGAGGCCTTACTCAGGTATATAGATGTGCTCTGTTCCAACTCTAAATTATGTTCCTGGTCTTCTAAAAACTTCTCCTTGACAGAATGATCCATAGAGAGAGGTCCCGGAAAACAACCCATGCTTTCTCGCTGTTGGTCATCACTTTGGAATTGATTGATGCGATCATGAAATCTACCATTGGTACCATAAGACAACTCCTTACCAGAAGGCTGGTTATCAAACTGTAGTCCAGGACTCAGTACATCCTCCCCCAGAGTTTGCATGTTACCTGTATGAAACTGGGACTTTCTTTGATGCGAGGAACTCTGATTGCATCTCTCTTCCTCAAAGACAGCTTCCCTGCATAACTCTCGGCCTCTTCTTGTGTATAAACTCATGACATCTCTCTCAAGTGATGGTGTATCAGTTCGTCTGTTGACATCGCAGAGGATCTCAACATTCTGGGATTGTGACAGCTGTTGGCTTCCACATCTTCCAATGCCTTTGGACAAACCACTTTGACTATCATCAACTCCAAAGAAATCACATGGTGAATGACAGTCTGGCAAACTTGGATGTTGTGCTCCATTTTGTATTGCATGTGACATATGGAACACATCCTGGAAACTTTCATCTGAGGTGAAGGGATGAGAATTTTGTCTGGATTGAGAATCACGGTAGTCAAGTGCTACAGATGAATGAGTGTGGGGTACACTTATATTCCAATTCTGCATGTTTGTGCCAGCAAAAGATTGTCCAACCTCTAAGAAATCCCTCTCTGAGAGACCAGGCAAACTTTGGTTGTCTCTCGTGTTTCTGATACAGGTTTGCGAGGAACAAAGGCCCAGCTTTTCTATTGTTGTTGGTGAGGTTATGCAATCCTCCACTACAGGTTTAAAGGATGAGGTTTGAGGAGGTGAAAACGTGTTTCCAAATGGTGCCGTAGACATGATCATTCCACTTGCAGGGGTGCTACATGCTTGGATACTGTCAGCGTGTGTTGGATGTATCTGAAGTGGTTTACTCCGGTCGTGTCTCGGTTGAAATTCTCTCTGGGTAGGAGTGTTAGGATTCCTCCTCTCTGAGGTGTCAAATGGTGGGGTAAGCCTGGCATTCCTCACTAGAGGAGTACCATATGGCAGCATTCTACTGGACTCAGAAGGCAGTATTTCTTGAAAGTCACCACAATCTTGTCTTGGTAGGAACATTGACTGGGTAGGAGTTTGTGGATTTCTTCTGACTTTTCCACTGGACACAAACTGCTTCCAGTAGATCCCCCCTTTCAAAAAATCACTCTGGTCCTGGAGAAATAAACAGAAAATAAAAGCACACTTAAACTTTCTACATACCATAATCATACAAAGGTTATTCATAAAGTTAAATAAGAGTATTTTAAAGCATTCAATAAGAATCCACCTATTTGGAGATATTACTAGGGCCTTAAAACGTAATACATACAACACAGGTTTAAAGCCCTTCTGGGTCCAAACAGACACGTATCAATTATCTAAATGTGCAACAATTATGAATGTTCCATCAGAATGCAATCAAAAGCTACATACATATAATTTGTGGCATCAAGCCTTTTATGATCAGGAAACACTGTGACCGCTTATTCCATATCTATGAAAGTGCCAATTCATGGGCATTTTGTAATCTCCTATCTTTTTGATTACTTCATGTACAGTGTATGCTGATTCTTACCTTACAAACCACAAAGTCTGATTTGTTTGTTGCATTTCTTCTAACTGAAGTTTTCAGGTATGAAGGATGAGGTAAGATGGCAAAGGCAGGGCTGGAAGAATGATCTTGCAGTCTCACGTCAGGATTGTAATAATGGTCTGTGTGATAGAAAATCAATCTCCTTTTAATACAAACTTTGAACTGAACAGTATTTAATGGAGTGCATATCAAACAAGGAGAAGAAAAAAAAAAGAGCCTGAACCAATTTGATTTATGCAAGAACATGATGAAAATTATGACTTTCATCTTGAATTTAAAATCTTAAGAGAACAGGCTCAATTCTGGTGAAAACTTAATCCAAAACTGCAGAGATGCACAACTGTAAAACTAGAAAAAAATTCAACAGGAACCTTGGGTGAATTGTATTCAAAAACCCTTTTTTCACAAAGAGAATCCTTGGCGATAAGCAAACATTTTGAGTTTGGTCAGTAGTGAATATATCATTTCAGGCTGTGAATGTTTTATAAAAGTGTTTATGCCCAAGGTTTCTGAATGTATTATTGCGCAAAGAAAGTATGGAATAGCATATGAAAATTTAAATACAAGAACCAGAAGCCACAGAAAGAAATGGAAAATAACAATTCAGCCAGTTAAAGATGGAAAAGTGCGATGGAGATGAACATACATGTAAGCAGTAATGATGAACACTCACCTGGTTGCATTGTAGCCAAGCTACGCAGCTCTTCTGGAGGTGGCAATTTGAAGACTGGTGACCATGTCTCCTGTTTAGATCCATGGCTAGACATTGATGCTGGTGATCCGAGTTGAAGTTGCATTCTTCTTTGGTCTTGGCTAGTATTCCATGTGAATCTTGAATCCAATTCATATCCTTCTCTAATCTGACAAACAGGTATGCTTTCCTCCGCTTGGTTTGGGGTCACAGAGATTGGAATCTGATGGCAGTCACTGGAGTTCTTAACATTGCCATAGATGACCATGTCACTACTGCGTTGGTCCTGAATCAAATTTTCTGTAACCAGATGTGGCGTCTGAACTAGATATGGTTGGTCATGGGCGGTTCTGACCGATTGGTGATCTTGTTCTGAAGACCATGACAAAGTGGCATTACTATCACCATTCACTTCCTTTCCAAACCATTCAGATGCTTGACCTGATAGTCCCACTATCTGAGCGGAAGTGCTACACTGTCCCATTGAAGACACCTCTCCATATGACTTCTCTGCAATTTGGACTTGATTAGTGGCCGATTCATGTTGCCTTGAATCAGACATCTCTGGAACTGACTGCTCACCTCCTGACATAAGTGTAGGATAAAACAACCCTGAAGCTTCCTTGGAAGGTGGATGCCCAGTCATACCATATCCTCCAGAAGGGCTTGCCGGAAGATGCTGTGTATCAATCAACTCCATATCCGGAACCAGAGCATCAATATCCTGAGACGGTATAGGTGAAGGGTCATTACTATCTATGAAGAAGTGGCCATTCTGTACGTCTTGGAAAGACAACGTTGTGTCCTTATTTCTCTGTGTTTCCTGTGAAAAGTCTAAGGTGTCTATGGAAGTTGCAGCGGATTGCTGACTATTGCAATCAGGAATCACTGATTCAAGATCGTGTGATATCGGTCCATTGGACAGTTTATGGTCAGCTGTCTCTGGCTTTCTGACATGTTCTTTCTTCTGCCGATTCTTAGAAGTTTCAAGCAGCTCTGAACTGAAGTTATGAAGATTGCGGTTACCAGGATGAATAATAATATTCTGTGCATTGTTCCTCAACAAATTACCTTTATTAACAGGATCAGAATCTGCTTCCAGATGCTGGGATCTCTGGAAGACATCACTTGTATCAGTGGACCAATGACATTCACCACTCAAGTCCATGGAGTCATCAATAGTATCTTCACCTAGCTGCATATCTTTCTCCACAGATTTCTTTCCATCAATAATGGGATGAGCATCTGAGTCCAAACCAAGGAATGTCTGTGAGACATGAAATAAATTCTCTGAGCTATCTTCTTTGCAGTTCATATTCAAAGACACAACATCAGAATGCATAAGCTGCTGTTCATATTCTCTCACAGGTTTGTCGCTCTCATCACCTACATGAGGATCAGAAACTGCTTTCAGGCTTGGGGATTTCTGGGACACATCAGCTTCAGGTGTATTCTTGAACCCATCTTCTTCAGATCTTGAGCCGAGAGATGCATCATCAGTATCAATATCACTTGGATTTATACAGCAATAAGAATCTTTTCCCAAAGACTGGGCTTCATTTTCAACAACATGCTGTACATCAGAACATTTCTGTGAGGTTGGAGATAGCTGACAGACATCCATTTTATTCTTTGACCAATCTTCTTCACAGCTCAAGTTCAAAGCCATATTATCATCATTATCAAAAGTAATGTCAGGAGGTTTAACGTGATGCGTATCACCACTCACAAGATTGTCTCTATCTTCAACTTGAGCAGTATCTGGTTTTGGGCCTGGGGGTTTCTGGACAACATCAGTCGCAGAGTCGAAGCTAACACGGTCATTAACACAGTCCACATACGTACCGTCAGCATCAGAATCAGCAGGATGTATAATGTATGCTGCATCATCCCTCTCAGGTTTGTCTTCATGATCACCAACATCTGAAACTGATTTATGGCCTGGGGATTTCTGGTCAACTTCAGGCATATTCTGATAGCTAGCAATGTCATTGCTAGGGTCAATACAAGTTCCATCAGTATTAGAATCGACAGGATGCACTGTGTCATGTGAATCATCTTCATGAAGATAAGAAACTGATAACAGGCTTGGGGATTTCTGTAACACATCAGTAGTATTCTTGAGTCCATCAGTTGTCCTCTTTACACCAGTATGTTCATACTTAGAGCCCATACCATCATCCTGATGTGCATTATTACTCTCAGGGTTGTCTGTACCTTCACCTTGATCACATAGTGCTGCCATGCTTGGAGACCTCTGGAAGACATCCACTTTATTCTGAGACCCATCTTCTTCACAGCTTTGGTCCTGAGACCAATCATCAGGATCAAAGTCAATCTGAAAACATATCTCCATACTATCACAATTCGATTCTCCGGAGAATTCACCTGTCAAGTTCCTACGTTTCATTTTGTGTGTGGTTTCCTGTTCATTCTGGGTCAGATCCAGGGATGGGTGCTTCACGGTCTTGTGAACTTCCTCAAAGGCTGCACCATTGTTATTGTGTGAATGCTGAGGGGTATCTGGTGCTTTGTGAGCAGTATCTATCTCAAGGGAAGATTCTTCTGGTGTATTTGATTTCATATCTTGTTCATCAATATCTGGCACAATCTTAATTTCTTCTTTTTCCTGACATTGATCAGAACTGCTGCCAGTTTGAGTTGCCAAGACCAATTCTTCATGAGAATAAATAACATCGGGAATTGCAGGGGATTGGCAACTTCTTTCATCCCTATCCTGGCCCTGAATCTGTTCAGCTGCCTTCTCAGATGGGCAATGTTGAATCTCTTCTACATCTATTCTATTACTATTCATATTTGACTCTAAACTTGTACTAGTCATAGATAGTTCTTCCTTGTGATCTTTACTTGGTATATTGCATGTACACCTGATGCCCTTGCATTTCTTACATTCCTTGTTCTTTAATTCTGACTGTGAGTCTACCTTGCACCTTTTAATAATCTTGTCTGTCTCTAAACCTAAGAGTAGGAGGACAATTTGGGAGGAAACTATCCGTTACCTTTGATATATTTGCTTGAAATTTCTTCTTCCGAATGTTAAAGCATAGCAAAACACAGGATAACTATACTTTAACTGTTTTTACTGGTACATGTATTGTTTCTTTTGTTTTAATTATCATAAGATTCAAACTGATGTACTAAGAACATAGTGACTTTTTTTTTAATAAATTGTAAATGGTATATTCAACTAAGAATATGCATGCATTACTCTCAACCAAACTACCCATAAAGACCTAAATCTGCTACAGAAGTGGCCCAATAATGTGTTACATACGTGGACTAAGAGAAAACTATAGGAAAACTATAGAAAAATTAGGATACCTAAGCATGCAGAGACAAAGTTCCCTTCAACATACCTGTTCTTTTATTCAAACAATGTTTCATGTGCTGGTTTTGCCTCGGTGCCGGACTCTCCTGGGAGACCCTGGACTCATCACAGACTGCTGCTTCCCTGTGACCACCTTCGGCTGCTTGACCACTAGTGGCCTTCAACCTCACAAGATCATTCTCACTGGGGATGCTGTGATGTTGTGACGTTCTCATCGATGCTGCAGTTCTTCTCATATGACCTGCATCAAATTCTCTAGAAGTATGTATGGGAAGACTGTCAGGAGGATGTGATTCTGTATTGTAAGACAGATGATCATCAAACACATCTTTTTCCAGCACCACAGGTTCTGAAGAAATCACACTTGCTTGGTAATTACTCTGATAGACATTTACTGGTGCTTGTGGTCTGATGGTTGTCGGAGAACTAGTATCCTTCATATGACCTATAGATGAATGTAATACTGTGTCAGTAACTCCACCTTGCGAAATCTTCTGCTTCAGGGGAGGCTGGAATGGTTTCTTCCCCTTACCAAGCAAAGCAAGAATTCTAGAGGTGCTTCTTTTAGCTCCTGGAGCATTCCCAGTGTGGCCTTTGGTTTCTTCTGACAGCCTAGCCTCCACACTATCCGGGTTAGTGCCTGGCATGACTGAACTAGCTGAAAGATCTGTGTGCTTCCTGTAGCTGGTACAGTCCTGTTCAGAAGACGTTCTCCATAGATCCTGATTTGTGGAACTAGGATCGCTAGAGAAGGAAGATTTGTTCATGACAGGTGCATCTGTCCTGGAGAGATCACTTCCACCTTCTCGATCGTCCAACGTACCTCTCATGTCAAAGTCCTTTTCTGGTTGACTTCTGACTTCAAGTTCACATGGATCTACACCCATGACAGTCTTGCTCGTACTTTCAGGATGTGGTGAGAAACTATTGGCTGTATTATGACTTGGAAGAGTCCTATCATCAAGGTAGCCCTCATTCCATTCCTGTGATTCTGGTTGAAAGTCATCCTTAAGCTGTTGAGGATCATATCCTGTATTGTTTCTTGTTGGCTGTTGTAGTTCAGATGCTGCATGATGTGTAGTGCTTTGAGCTGCCTTGACTGTGCTCCTTCCATACAGGTTCAAGATATTTGGACCCTGAGGCGAAGATACCTCTGTCTTGGTACATGGAGTACTGAAGAGTGAAGACCTGGGGCTTTCGAACCCTGATGAAGTAGCCAATTGCTGGATTTCTTGTGTCTGTAGAGGATTCTCTTTCTCAGGACTCGGTCGCTTGTTGACTTGCCTTGGAGGTACAAATCCCTGCAAACAGTACAGATAAAATTGTTAATAGAAAGTCAACTAATACAGGTAATATAAATTACATACTTGTAATCAGAAGTTAAGACCAGGGGGTGTTTCACAAAACTTGTCATCAGTGACAAATGACAGTTGCTTCTGATTGGTTATCACCAGATTTGTCACTGATTTTTGTCATTTGTCATTGAGCGCCTGCTTAACCATGGACATAAGTGCTATTCAATCAACCAAGGTTATTATACAGGTTCAAACCGTTCAATACTCTAATAACATTTGAATGTGCGATTTCTAAATACCGTATTTGCCGGCGATAAGGCCGCAGCGCCGTATAGGCCGCACCCCCGATTTTGAAATTTAAAAAAAATTTAAAAAAATTTAAAAAAAAAAAAAAAAAAAAAAAAAAAAAAAAAAAAAAAAAATCGTTTTTTTTTTTGTTTTGTTGTGTTGTTGTTTTGCTGCCGAAAACCCACGCGTGGAAGGACCTTCATTTAACATCGAGGTGCAGTTAAAGGCGCTGATTTGTGCTTGTAAACTTGTCACAAATAATAGTAACAATGTCGTTTTTAGAAGAATGTGTAAGATCATTAATGTGAATTAAAAACAATAAAGTACCTATGGTACCAGTGGTGTACCTTGTGGTTGTGGTACACCATTTGTTATAGAAACAAATTTGAGGAACTATTATTATAAACTACATATTGAGATCTATTAGAAAGATTACTTTCAAACCAAGATGACAGTCAAATTTTAGTGTTGTTGTAGTTTACGAGAGGTGAGTCAACACACTGATTACTGAGCTGGGAGACATTGCTAGGCATAGTGCCATAAATCGAAACTAAAAACAAACAAAAAAAAAATTTTACTCTTTCGCCGCATAGGCCGCACCCCGACTTTTTTGATATTTTCTCTTCCAAAAATACTGCGGCCTATACGCCGGCAAATACGGTAGGCCATTTTCGTAATGTAACCAAGTTTATGTATGCCTTTATGAAGCACCTCGATACAAATTATTTCATTATTCTGTTACAAAAAAATGTATCTCACTAGACGGAATTCAAATTGCATATTTTGTTGCTAGATAGGAAAAAAATTATGGCTTGCCCTACCTAACAACACATAACATATGCTATTTGCATTCTGATTATTGAAATGCAATTATTTGTAACAGGATATTTAAATAATTTGTATTGAGGCACTTATGTATTTGAAAGTATTAGTTTGGGTACATAAATGAAAATGGCCTATTTGTTTTTAACCGACATATCCTGCTAAAACAAAGTAGCAGTATATAAAAATTTTGTCTCTGTTTTCACGAAGTGACGGTAGTGGAAAAAAAAATTGCATTCACTTTGCGTGACGATTTTCCTCAATACCGTCACTTCGTGAAAACAAGGACGATTTGAATGCAAAACAGTATTTGCTACGACTGGTATTTGTTCTAAGTGAGTTGGTTAATTTGGGATTGCCTCCTCCATCACAGTCTTTTCAAGGCAGGGATTCTGGAAGAGATACATATTTGTGCTTCAAACTACCATACTGATAGGATAAATATATAATGGCCACTTGTCTACGATTCCCACTTTAACAATTCAAATCAAGAGATTACCGGTAAGTGTACTTTTAACATTTCTGCTAAAGAACACATACATGTACATTAGATCAGCAAGTACAGAGGGGCCACAATTGTGCACAAAATAGTTGATACTTGTGATATTAATTTAACAAGCAAATTTTTTGCTACACAGGTTTTTTTTGTTGGCCTTCAATAGACTATTATAGACAAAACGTTGGCTATTACTTACCATTCTCTTTCTTTTCAGCGGCTGTCTTCTTAGAGCCTGGGTATGAGGTCTGTGATCAGGTTGGTTTACTGAGGCCTTTTCATTCTTAACAGCTTCCGGGTTTGGTTTATCAGACGATACACTCTCTTCAATGGTGATCAAATATTTCTCACTTTCTAGCACTTCTCCAATGGCAGCCTGCACGAGTGAGGGAAGCATATAAGTACACAAAAAGTCAAGAAAACAAACCAACTGACAAGCAATGCACAGTAAACTGCAACTGTTAGAAATAGGAGCTTCTTGATATTGAAGCTGTGTTCTAGAAGTTAAACAGGGAGAACATACTTTGCATGTTGCCCTATTACTCATTATTTGGCACAGAGTATTTCAGACTTTTCAAAATTTCCATGTCAAGAACATGAAATCTCCTTGATAATAGAAAATATGAATGATTTGAATCAACATTTTAAATACCTTTTACAAAGTATTTTCAAAGATGCTAATGGCTTTCCTTAAATAATTGTTAAGTCCAACTCAGAGATACATTGTAAGTCAACTTAGGATCTTTGTGAAACACCCCCTAGGTTAATGAAGAATGATAGAATTTTACAAAATTTATTACTCCTGGGTTACTAACCATGCGAAAAAACTTAATGAGAGCAATTACTGCTTACCTGGTTTGCTTTGATATGAACTTGATCCAACCTTTTGTTTCCTGCTCCAATAAGATCAGCTTTGGTTCCTTGGTCATTGATCTTGAGGACACCATCTTGCCAAACCTTGGCTTTCTTCCTCTTCTGATGTGTGTATAAAACCTAAATGTAAACAAAAAATGACAGGGATCAGTATTAAATCTAACATGATATCATTATCTCCCCCTTTTTTGTTGTTGGATTTTTAAGAAGAAGAAGAAAAATGCATGCATATCATGTGAGTGTATATATATGCATACATGCCAACATTTGAAAATCAGAAATCTGTACAAATTATGCTATTTTCAAAAAAAAGAGGAACAATCCTAACTCTCCTATTCAATACTACAGACAAATTTGTACAGGAAGAGGAACACCTGCATTAAAATGATAATTATCTTCTCCCAAAAAGAGGAATGTTCCTCTTTAATCTGAACAGTTGGCATGTATGTATATGTATACGTAAATTTGAATTCAAAACAAATATTTTATAGTATTCAGCAATAATTTTCATAAACTGACTTACTTTAATAAATAACTACAACAATTACATCAATGTCGTTTTACTAAGAATGAATCAATGTCGTATATTTTGTCTGCTGCATGGAGACGGGTAATTCCAGCCATATTTGGCTTAAAAGCTGGGGTCTTTAGAAAATAGTAATATCTTCCTTATAATCAGACATAAATAACCGTCTGGTATGGGGTCATTTTTTAATAAAACTGACATTTGTCAATATTCAAGGCGGTCAGAGGAGCCAGATGAAATCTCAGCGAAACAACTGTCGATATCAGAGACTGAAGCTTTCGGTTTACCTTATAATGTGCTCTTTGATTGGATAAATATCAACAATACTAAATAATTGACTACCGGTATTTATTTTGTAACCTTTTGTGATACATGTATGCAGTTATACCATTACAAATGTGCAGTGTCATCTTGATCATACAGATTCTCAATAGTCATTGATCTGAAATACATTTAAGACAAAATCAAGAAACGAAATAGGATTATTTGAATCCTGACTATAAACAAGGATTGACATTACTTGTTAACTAAGTGAATAGGTAAATACATAATTTGAGTGTATCAAAAATGCTTGTGCATTGCAAACTCTATTCTGCTAACATTATTAAAAACATCACCATTGTAGAATACAGGAATAGCCTTTTGATAAACGGGCTCGAGTTGTGACGTCAGAAGCGAGAGTTTCACTTTCACTACATTGTTTTGGCCGGATTTCAGGGGGCGTTTGAAGGGTGCCAGCCTATTTTACATTTTTGAGATGCGTTTCATTACTGGGAGTCGTCCCCATAAAATCAATGAAAATTAGCTTAAGCCCAAAGTTGTAAGTAAAATATGATGCATTTTATTTCAGTCTAATGATCTGTCTATGGCATTGTGTGAATGATTTTTGTGATATTGATGCAAAAAAAATGTAATATCAGATGAAATGCACATTTATATTCTTCAGTCTAGGCCTAGACCTATTACAAAATAACTGATCGACACAGATGGTATGCTTTCGACCTTTTATTCAAACTTTAAATTTGAAGAAAGAAAAAAGGCGAGACTGTGAATGTAATACTAGAGTAGACCTACATGTAGGGTAAAGGATTATTTCTCCAGACACTAAAGAAAAAGTAAAGCCGTCATGTTGGCAACTGGACTTTACACAAAAAATAATATGCATCAGATATTAGTAGTACTAGTAGCCATTAATATTATCAAACCATTATAAATATTTGTTCTTTTTAAGATATTGTCTAAAATAAGTCTGAAAATACTAATGAAACATTGTCCGGACATAGGACGTGTACATGTAGGTGTACTAAATACGTATCACATTGAGTTTGACTAGATCTACAGAGCTAACGTATTCTTTTAAAAATTCAATATTTTATCAATCTATCTAGTAATAGTCTAGTATCTTTGAAGTGTTAATGACCACAGACACAGTTTAACTTTGGGCTTACTTACAACAAACTCTCTTCCTGCCATGGTTAATATCTGAAATGTAGTCGTAGCAGGCCCATAATAATATCACCAGGAACGTGACGTCACTGACACTTGACTTGGCAGTGAAACTTTGAGTTTGATCCTGCCAAAACAACAAAAGAAGCAAAATGGAGAAGGAAAAAAAGAAAAGGTTATTAATATTAATGTATGGTGGTGTGACCAAAGTTTGCGCGTGACCTAAGTTAGCTATCTCAAAAAAAACCAAAAAAAATTTCAAAAATCTGAAATCAACAATGGAAAGAGAAACATAAAATTACCCAGATATGAAATTCTCTTTGGAATTGTGTACGAAATTGTGAAAATATTGACAAAAGATCAGCAAATTTTGCAACCTTTTGCGTCCGTTCCGAAAAATTATCAATTTACCGATAAGGGTCTGAAAATCTTCAATTTGAGAGCAGATTTCCTCAAACTTGTACATGTAAGTAAAAAGTGGTCCAAGTAATTGTATGATGTATTGCCTTGCAAATTATGTTATTACCTTATTTTTGATGCATCACATTTTTTGATAAATCAACTGTAGATCTAAACCCCCCTGCGTGAAGTTAGGTCTTGTTGTTTTTATGACTTTTTTAGATTCAGTGCGCACGCACGATCGGACATCAAATTTTTAGATCGCTATAAAATCTAGTCTATCTCCAAAATCCTTCGACGATAATTTTTTTTTGATTGAACCAATCTGTAGAAAAAACTTTGCCGTCCATTTGGTAATAATTGAAATAAATAAATTTGTGTAGATATGAGAAATCATAGATCAAATATCACATTTTGTAATGCGTTCTAAAATGTCCGCAAACTTTGGTCACCCCTTCATACTAAACTTGTCTTGATTGTTAAAGTTTTTAACTAACCCATGGCCTACAGTACATGAAACTTGTAACATTCTGTTGAAAAACTGATCATGAATGTCAATCGAGTTTCAGAGTCTCTGAGCTGAAAGAGTGAAAGTTTGAAAGTCGCGAGTTGGCTCAGTCGGTAAAACGTCCGTCTGTCGAACCAAAGATCCCGGGTTCGACTCCCACCCAGGCGGATGACTGAAGCCTGCGTTGTGTGTTAACGTGCACCTTCCCTTGTTCATAGACTCAGGTTATGTCAAGTGGAAAACACTCCGTCCCTCGGATAGGACGTTAAATGGAGGACCCATGTAGAGAAGAGTCGATCACTACCTTTGCACGTAAAGAACCCACTGCACTATTCGTATGACTCAAGAGTAGGGGGAAACCCCTGTGTAGTGGTCCACCTGCACACACCCCCAGTATAGTACGATAATACTCTGTAAAGAGGTCTGTACTCAAAAGGAAGAAGAGGAAGAAGAAGAAGAGAAGAAGAAGAAGAAGAAGAAGAAGAAGAAGAAGAAGAAGAAGAAGAAGAAGAAGAAGATGCGCCGCATTAGGACGAGCCTGCAGACGACAAGTTGACAGACGATGTATGGAGGAGTAGCCTCCGCCTCCGCCGCGCCGTTGCGGTAGGAGCAAGGAGCTAGCTTGTCAGCGGCAGTCTTCACCTCGACCAAAGGCCCGTGGGCGTGGACGGCCGAGCTGCTTGGTCTTGGAAACAGTAATTTTACGCTAGAATCGAATACTAAATAACTAAACAATTCAAATAAATGTACACAGACTCAAATCGTGCATTCTACATACCCTGAGATTTCTATTCATGAACGAAAATCCCGGCACATTGCTCGCGAAGAGTCGAACGCCGCAGCAGCCTACTCAGCGCGTAGAACTTTTGTGTTTGCCGCCATGTTGCATAAAGATGACGTCATGGATGATACCACTACCAAAATACACCAGTTGAGGTGCCCGCACATTTGATGTTGGTTGTGGGGCGGGGCTGGGCGGGGCGGGGCGGCAAATAGGACCAGGGGCTTCACCCCTATCTTGGTAAAAACAGTATCGCATGTGTACGTTTATGGCCTCCAGTGACAAATAAAAACACGGCTTTATAGATAAGTTGGAGTTGGAGGGGAGTGCTCTTAAGATTGCGATATTTTGTTCCCAGTATCTGACCCATGCAGGTCGAAAATCCAATAGAGACCATTAGAAAAAAATCTATTGGTCTCTAATGGTTTCTGTTGGAGTCTATTGGTTTCTGTTGGACTCATAGAATTGAATCCAATAGAGACCTTTCAAACCATCATAAACCAATAGAAACCAAGGCCCATAGAAACCAATAGGACCAATAGAAACCAAAAAGGCAATAAGACCAATAAGAACCAATATGACCGATAGGACCAATAGAAAACCAATAAAACCAATAGAAGCCAATGGGACCAATATATATATGACCAATAGAATTAAGAAACATAGAAACCAATAGGTCCAATAGAAACCAATAGAAACCAACAGCTAAATCTATCTCATGCATTCATGATTACTTTACACGTTTTCACAGAAAAATACATTTATCATAATTTGTTAAGTAACTTATGACCATGCACATCAATTTTGTGATTTTTATTTTATTTCGGCAATTAATGACCAATAGATTATTTGTCTGACCATGTTACAATTACATTCACGTTCTTGATTATAATGATTACTCACCAAGAAACAACATATATGTTTATTATATAGAATAGTACAAGCCTCTAGTTAAGAAAAGGATAATCTTAAATTCACTTCAAGTGATCTTTGTGATGGAGTTAATGCAATTGAGACTTGAATGTACCTTCTTGGTGGACAGTTGCTAAAATCGATTTATTTTTTTTATTTATTTATTTTTTTTATTTATCATTATTGATTTACCAATAGAAGCCAATGGACTATTGAACCACTAGGGAATTCAGAATATGAGACCATTAGAAACCCATAGAAAGATCTCCTTCAGGACCGACAGGAACCCATAGAAAAAATCTAATGGACCAACAGAAAACCCATATAGTATACAAATATACACTGCCTTGAGAGGTTCTGGTTAAAACTATGCGCAAGAGGTGACTCCAATAGTACTATTTGCTGAGGGGCGCAGCCCCGAAGCAAATGGTACTTTTGGAGTCACCGAGGCCCATAGTTTAAACAGTACCTCGAATAGAAGGCATGGTATTTTGTTTTATATCCTGCATCAAAAAAAATTTATCTAAAAAGATTTGAAATATTTTGTTTTCATTAAATTAAGATTTGAAAAAAAATAATTGATTCAATTCAAAAAAAAAAAAAATCACATTTTGTTTTCAACTCCCAAATAGAAAACCAAAATAAAACTCTCATATAGTACTTTCTAAAAATAGGTCAAATATTTCTGGTCATGTGACAAGCTCTCAACCAATCAAAAGCCAACAAAGTTTTGATGCAGGATATAAAAGAAAAATATCTAATGGACCAACAGAAACCCATAGAAGACGTTTGTGGATGTTGGTCCAATAGAAGCTTTATGTTGGTCCATCAGCATTTATTTCTGTGGGTTTGTGTTGGTCCAACGGATATTTTGTTTTGGTTTCTGTGGGTCCAATATTTCACTTTCCCTATTGAAACCAATAGACACCAATACACCAGTTTACAGTTGTATCAGTGCGCATGCGCAGACAGTTGACCTCGGGTCATTGGCCCCAAAATTGGGGCCAATAACCTCTGACCTCTGGTATTTATGCGTAAATTAAAATTGCGCCCATGCAAATGATGATGTGCGCGCACAACGCAGCGCGCAGGCAGTGATGTCATCATTATTTGCATGGGCGCAATCTTAATTTACGCATAAATACATGACTCCTAGGTCATTAGCTTTGTTTAAAATGGCGCACACAACTGTAAACTGGTGTATAGCTCTAATGGTCCAATAGGCTATCGGATCCTATTGGAATTTCGACCTGGGGAGGTATCTGCGTAGGCTACTCCCGCCCCCAGGGGCGGATCTAGATTTTTACCAAGTGGGGGGGGGGGGGGAGGGGGTGGACCAAAAAAAAAATCAAAAAATCGCGCCGTTTTACTCTTTTTTCTTCACGTCCGGGGGGGGGGGTAAACCGCAGAACCCCCCCCCCTAGATCCGCCCCTGCCCCCCCCCCCCATCAGTGGTTTTTAGGGTACCCGTATGAATGTTCCCTATATACCTTTGAAAGCACCCCCACCCCCCCCCCCCTCCGAACATGCAGCCCATTCAGTTTACAAAATAAGACAAATCAAGATGAAAATCAAAAAGTACCAATTATCAATCATAACTTTCAAATAACAAAATATATGGTACATCAATCATGTAACTAAATACTTCCTCGAACAAAGAACATACAAATCAAGATGAAAATCAAAAGTACTAATTATCAATCATAACTTTCAAATAAAAAAATATATAATACATCAATCATTAAACTGAATACTTCCTCGAACAAAAAAACATACAAATCAAGATGAAAATCAAAAAGTACCAACTATCAATCATAACTTTCAAATAAAAAAATATATAATACATCAATCATTAAACTGAATACTTCCTCGAACAAAGAACATACAAATCAAGATGAAAATCAAAAAGTACCAACTATCAATCATAACTTTTAAATAAAACTGAATACTTCATCGAATATTACATTAATCACATGTTAAAACTTAAAAGTTCAATCTTATGTCATCAAAGGGATAAAATATAATAAACTATAATACATCAATCATTAAACTCAATACCTCATCGAATATTACATTAATCACAATGTTAAACACTTAAAAGTTCAATCTTATGTCATCAAAGGGATAAAATATAATAAACTATAATACATCAATCATTAAACTGAATACCTCATCGAATATTACATTAATCACAATGTTAAACACTTAAAAGTTCAATCTTATGTCATCAGAGGGATAAAATATAATAAACTATAATACATCAATCATTAAACTGAATACCTCATCGAATATTACATTAATCACAATGTTAAACACTTAAAAGTTCAATCTTATGTCATCAGAGGGATAAAATATAATAAACTATAATACATCAATCATTAAACTGAATGCCTCATCGAATATTACATTAATCACAATGTTAAACACTTAAAAGTTCAATCTTATGTCATCAAAGGGATAAAATATAATAAACTATAATACATCAATCATTAAACTGAATACCTCATCGAATATTACATTAATCACAATGTTATACACTTAAAAGTTCAATCTTATGTCATCAGAGGAATAAAATATAATAAACTATAATACATCAATCATTAAACTCAATACCTCATCGAATATTACATTAATCACAATGTTAAACACTTAAAAGTTCAATCTTATGTCATCAGAGGGATAAAATATAATAAACTATAATACATCAATCATTAAACTGAATACCTCATCGAATATTACATTAATCACAATGTTAAACACTTAAAAGTTCAATCTTATGTCATCAGAGGGATAAAATATAATAAACTATAATACATCAATCATTAAACTGAATACCTCATCGAATATTACATTAATCACAATGTTAAACACTTAAAAGTTCAATCTTATGTCATCAGAGGGATAAAATATAATAAACTATAATACATCAATCATTAAACTCAATACCTCATCGAATATTACATTAATCACAATGTTAAACAATTAAAAGTTCAATCTTATGTCATCAGAGGGATAAAATATAATAAACTATAATACATCAATCATTAAACTGAATACCTCATCGAATATTACATTAATCACAATGTTAAACACTTAAAAGTTCAATCTTATGTCATCAGAGGGATAAAATATAATAAACTATAATACATCAATCATTAAACTGAATACCTCATCGAATATTACATTAATCACAATGTTAAACACTTAAAAGTTCAATCTTATGTCATCAGAGGGATAAAATATAATAAACTATAATACATCAATCATTAAACTGAATACCTCATCGAATATTACATTAATCACAATGTTAAACACTTAAAAGTTCAATCTTATGTCATCAGAGGGATAAAATATAATAAACTATAATACATCAATCATTAAACTGAATACCTCATCGAATATTACATTAATCACAATGTTAAACAATTAAAAGTTCAATCTTATGTCATCAGAGGGATAAAATATAATAAACTATAATACATCAATCATTAAACTGAATACCTCATCGAATATTACATTAATCACAATGTTAAACACTTAAAAGTTCAATCTTATGTCATCAGAGGGATAAAATATAATAAACTATAATACATCAATCATTAAACTGAATACCTCATCGAATATTACATTAATCACAATGTTAAACACTTAAAAGTTCAATCTTATGTCATCAAAGGGATAAAATATAATAAACTATAATACATCAATCATTAAACTGAATACCTCATCGAATATTACATTAATCACAATGTTAAACACTTAAAAGTTCAATCTTATGTCATCAGAGGGATAAAATATAATAAACTATAATACATCAATCATTAAACTGAATACCTCATCGAATATTACATTAATCACAATGTTAAACACTTAAAAGTTCAATCTTATGTCATCAGAGGGATAAAATATAATAAACTATAAAACATCAATCATTAAACTGAATACCTCATCGAATATTACATTAATCACAATGTTAAACACTTAAAAGTTCAATCTTATGTCATCAGAGGGATAAAATATAATAAACTATAATACATCAATCATTAAACTGAATACCTCATCGAATATTACATTAATCACAATGTTAAACACTTAAAAGTTCAATCTTATGTCATCAGAGGGATAAAATATAATAAACTATAATACATCAATCATTAAACTGAATACCTCATCGGATATTACATTAATCACAAT